CGCAGAACTTTTCTGAAGAAAAAGTGTTCCAACAGCGTAACGAAATGATTAAATCTGGAAATCTACAACGAAACAAACGCAGTGCGCGACCGACTACTCTTATCAGTCCTTAATCATTTGTATGGAAAACGGAAACTTTTTTTTATGAGCTATAACGACGGTTATGACATCTATCCTTGATGTACAAAAAAATAAAACACTTTTAAAGGATAATGACGTCATTTTACGATGACCGGTCGGTTCGCCGGATGATGGTGCATAGTCATAACACTACGGTTTAATCCTATAGCTCGACCAAGGTGCACGTGCGGTCTCCATAAGAGATTGCCACAAGAGGCGTCGTATAACTGTACTTATGCATTATTGTGGTGTCCATACGAACATAAAGTACGTTTTTATCGTTTCGTTTCTTGAAAAACCACACATGCCATTTGTGTCCGACATATATATAATTTTCAATTATTTTACTTATCGGGTTCATCTTGTATAAACGCCTCGCTGGTGGAAAAAACACAAAAAAAATAATTAATTGCCGCTTTAAAACAAACGATAATTAATCCGAATAAAGGCGCGAATCAGAGAATCATATGAAAATAATTTACTGACGGTCCAGAAAACCGAACGCACACAAAATGTTTGTTAAGATGGAGTTTAAAAATAATTGTTAACGTATAAACAATACAGCTTGGCATTGATAATGACAATACCAAGGTGAAGGTAACAATATTATCAAAAAGCACGTCAGTAATATTCGACATAAATCGAATACGGAAATAGGGAAACTAGGCGATCATGTTGAATCAGTTTTAAAATCCAATTCGAGTTTAAAGATTAGGTAAGAATATGGTCGAAGTTTTAATTAGAGTTTGGAATGATAAATAATATTTGTATGTTGTGGACTGTTTTGTGTCACGAGCTAATTGTTTTACGGTTTTGGTATTTACATCGTCGTAGAATGATTTATTATTCGTAGAGTTATACATCATGGGGCTAATGTAAGTAAACCGAGATGAACTGTAATGTCTGGGTTGTCCTTATCCGGCAGGGCTCGTGGCATGGCTCTACGATGATAATTTATATTATGCATAACGACCGTATAGTGTAGGATAACTCTGATTTTGTAGTTTTCTACTAATAATTCCAGATGGTTCTCTGGTAATCAGTATACATATTATGTTTGAAAATCTCTGGTAACTTAAGACCTCAAAATCTTCCTTCATTCTGTATATTTTCTAGTACCTTCACGAGAGTTGAATCTCGGTACTTGGCTTCATTAATGATACTTACGGTACGAATGTTTTTTTGGAAGACAAGAGCGAAGCAGAAGTAATATTTCAAGGTAAAATTTACTTGGTTGTCGTTTTATCAACGCCAGTTTATGGACCGGCCGGTGGTAATAACGTTAAAATTATTGTAAATTTTATGACAGTCGGCAGGGTTCTCTTATTAGAGGCTAAAAATATTAAGATTTTTTTGGTTAAATTTTAATTGGACCGATCGTTATCGCCGTCGTTTGCGCAAAAAACATTAATAAAACAAACACTAGTTTTTACACACACAATGGGGCGTGGGCTATAAAAACGGTTATCTTAAAAAAACCACATACTACACGATCCGTGTAAATATTTTCCATTCGTGTTCACAGGCCTACGGACGTTATCTCTTTAACAAAATAAAGCAGAGCCGAAAGATATTACATCATTAGACACGAGTCATTGCCCGAGTGTTAAGACTGAACAAACTTCGAAAAAACTCGATGGGATTAATATTATTGTTTTTTTATCAGCCCAAAGTGTTAAACGACTTTACAATTATACAGCAAAGAATGGAACAAACAAATATTGATCTAACGGGTTATATTATTGTCTCTTCAAACCATTCAAGTGATAGGTAAAAGTATATCGGCAAACGAATCCCCCTTTGTATTGACGGCAACAAAAACTCCCTTTAGAAACCTTAGGTGTTTCGTTTCCGCTTCCGATAACGATATGATACAACACCTATAGAAGCACATTAAAATAATTATTTTTTTAAATATGTTATTTGAAAACGATTAATATACGGTTAAAATACAAATGTACGCATTAGGGTAACCAAAAAATATATATCAACGATAGTTTATTAATCAAAGCTTAAAAACGTGTCCGAAGGCTAAACGTCTATGGTGATTACCAAGAGATTTTTAATATTAATATCATTCAATTATTTAACAGCTATACTTATCATTAATTTTACTTGAACCGCGTGGGGAAATGTCAAAATTATAAATCGGTAAAATAAACGTTTCTCTTAGCGTTGGTTAAAACTAAACGGCTACTATTTTGTTGGGTTGGTACAAAATACAATAATGTGTGCAATTTTGTAAGCTTTTCTTTTAATTATAATACAATTATTGTTTTAAAACAAATCATAGGCATCGACACTGTTTAAAAACAATAATTTGTTCAACGGAAATTTATTAATATATTTTCTGTGTACAAAAATAATACGACCAGTTGGTAAGGTTTCGAAAACAACAACAAACACCCAACAGCGTTTGTTAGCTGTTGTGGTTTTTTAGTCGAGTCAACACTTAGATAGGCAAATTTTATACCTCTTCCCTTCCTCCTATTAATACATTTTTTTTTACAATCCTAATACGCAAAATCGTGAAATTCCAAATTAAAAAAAAAATGTATAATATTGAAAAGTATCTACTTCATTTAGATCGTGTTATATTCGAATTTACAATACAATTATTATTATAATTTATAATATATCTCTCGTCTTTTATATTTAAAAAAAATATGCTCTATTGTTCACCGGAATACATACAATCTCATTTATTTCTCACCCGATTTAACCGCCTTTATAGGACGCGTTATTTCTACTTCTACACGATCACGACTTTATCGAAATACTTTCTTTTCCCTGACTAATACAGTCGTCGTTAAACCATTTTGGTTATCTTTAAGAATGCATCAATCATTTATACACAATGGGAGTACCATATACCAATCTCGAAAAAATCACAAAGAAATTTATCTAGTTTGGTTCACTAATTTTACAACTAACTTTTATTTTTTAATATAATTATAATAAGTAGGTAATATTGTAATACAATATGCATAGATTTAATTAATGAGAATGGGACGAATACAGTATCTTTTTATTTATTATGGGAAATGGTAAATGTTCTGGTTATAAATTAATCTTTTACAACAATTAAATAGGCTATACAATTTTAATGTGAAATCATTATATTACTATGATATTATATAATATGTATGAAAAAGAAACAGATATTATTTTCTTCGTACTGTTGTAAAAAGCTAGTGGGCACCCAATAGTCCTTGAACCAAATACACGTTTATTGTAACTCACTACTCCCAACCCCCAGGCTTTTTTAATGGAATATTTTTCACTTAACTTTGATCTAAAACTTATATGACGATGCTAATTCAAAAAGATAACCTAGTAAATTGAAAATCCAACAAGCAAACTACATGTTTTGTAACAGACCCGAGATAAGCACTCTACTTAACACAGCCATATTGAAGACACGCTAAAAAAAACCGGAAGTGTACAAATTATCATATACATTATATACATTTAATGAAAAAAAACGAAATTCCTGCAACAACACTATAACTCTGAAACAATAGATGTATACTATTTACAATATTATATTATATTTTGCATTATTAGCAGAAAGTGGAATTAGAATGGATGCTATTTTTTTAAATTTTATTTAATAAAAGGCAACCGATCTGGTGAATAAGGAAGTCGGGTTTTTCATAGTATACAGGATACTTACAGTTAGGAAGTAGAATTAATATATTATTATATAACTTGTAAAATAAATATAAACAATAAATTAGTACAGAGCCGCACAACTGTGTGTAACTTATATAATTATGATAAAAAATTGACAGTGTGTAGCTTAATCAAACATACTTTAATGCCTAATTAAATAATTTTTTTAATAAAACATTAATAGATAAAACCATACATTTATTGTGATTGAAATGTTAAATTGTTTAATATATTACCATTTGGTTATGTTTCTCCTATTTCCCCTGGAAACATTAAGATTTTTCGACAATTGGACATTTTCTCTCGAGTATATATAACAAAGTTTGTGGCAAGTTGAGAAAAGTATATAATCAAAGTAAATATATTTTTTTGGACAAACATTTAGTGTTTTCTACAATAAATAAATGTAGTGAAGTAACCTTGAAAAACAAAAGCGATCTTTATCATAATAAATTAAGATATATGTCTTGGAAGTAGTTATACTGTTTACTTAAAAATCTACATATTTATATTACTTGGGCACATAATACTTTTCTTTTAAAAGTGAAAAAAACAAATGACTTATCAAGAATTAATCTTAATGGTTTTTATTTAAAATTTGTTTGTTTTTTTGTAATCATAGTATATAGTATTACTTTGAATAATATTGTTATACCTAAATATAATTGCCCGACTAATTTTTAAAATATAATCATAATATTTAATTCAGTACACACATATTTATGAATTATTTCAACTAAGAACTTATTTGTCATTTTATTTACATATCTAAAAATATATTAAACTATAAGCAGCATTAAAGTCTCCAAGATTCAAAATAAAGGTATACTATAAATACTGTTTGTAATAAATTTTACTAATTGATTGCACTATGCCTATAAGATATTTGAGAAAATTGTTTTAAATATTCAATGCTGTGGAATAACTTTAAAAAGTTATTTTTATTTGTTTACAAATATGTAATATTTTTTTATAATGTATGGCAATAAATTATATTTCCAGCAATGTAAACTGTTAGAAACATGAATGATGTATAATATTATAAATGAGATGATGTACAAACGAAACGGAAAAAACCTTAATACATTACACCATAGCTGAATTAATTGAATTAGTCACGGTACACTACGCCATAAAGACGGTAATTCAAAGTGATAATGCTAGCTACTTTATAAGTAAAAGATGAAAACTTTGTATAGACTTACCAAGAGCTTGACATTGTAGCATTTTTGTCTGTCCTTCGCTGACCAGATTCTTGGTGGACGACGGTTGCGTTATAAACCGTGGTGGTTGAAGGGATTCTAGAAAATGTTGTTAAAAACAAGACTTTATTATATTGTGCCATTGCAAGCGCCTATCGTATTGTAAATTTCAATGTCTTTCGCAGTTTACAACCAAAAACTATATACATAATAAACAAATCAGGTTCTAAGCAGGTACTTACGGCAGTCTGAGGAACTGATGAATACGGCCAACAACAGGAGAACAATTATTGCTGCTGGAAAGTGGTAATCCCGACATTTGCGGTATCTTTCTTCTTCTTCCATTTTAGCCACAGGAGAAGGCCGCGAAAACGACACTTCGGTAAGTATCAAACTGTTCGAAATAATAACGAAACAAAAAAAATTTAACCGACTAAAAAAAGCATAAACGGCTGCGGCAAAAGAAAAACGGGTGCACAAAGGCTACCGGCGACCGCGCACACCTGTTGCACCGGCGGCTGTTCAAAAGCCATGGCCGGCAACGGCCTTTTCGCACTGCACCCGACCCCGAACTGTCATATCACGGATAAAAAATAATATAAACAATTTAAAAAAAATGATAATAACGGTATTTTTCCGACGGAAACAAATTAGGTATTATAATTTAACTTCAGAATTTTTTTTTTAAAAAACACTAACGCAAAAAGCACTAGTAACGTACGGCAAAGGCGACGATAACAAAATACTATGATTACAACGATTACAACAATACACAGAGCGCACAGTACGTGAACGCGAGGAATGCAGTCCTCCTCCGGCGGCTCGCACACAAGACAAGAGACCACGGGGTACGGGGACACGGGCGCACAGTGCACCGTAACCGACGGCGACGCGCGGTGGACGGACGGACAAACAAAACGGACCCCTCGAGCCTCACCGCGCCGTACAGCTCTGCCCGTGGACGTTCATCGTTGTCGGCGGCGGCGGCGGCGGCCGTTACACCGCGTGTCACCTCGTTGCGCGGCGAGTGGAGGGGAAAATATGTCCCGAGGTGGGTTGTTGTTTTTTTTTTCCGTTCAACGGATTTGCCAAGTGACAGTGTCGCCAGCCCGAGAGAATTTCCCACCGATAGCACCGGTGTGATAAAAAGTATAAGACCAAGAAAAATTATCTTGGGAGGATCACACGATTTTGGAAAAAGTACCAAAAACGTTATACCTAGGATTACGTTATAATATCAATGTTATGTTAAACTTTGATCATTTTCGCTGAAACCGAATCTGGTACCAACACGTTAATTTGTTTCTTAATCGCAATTTAAAAAAAAAACACGCTCGTTTTAAGATATTTTCAACGTGTTCTGCGGGTTTAGATGATTTCTTAAAATTAATTTCAATTAGAGTTGCTTAAATTGTTTTTTTTCTGAACTTTCTGCTTAAAATGCTAATTTAATTCCATGACCAGTTCTGACTTCAGTAAAATGAAATTTTAAAAAAAAACACTTCTTTTAAAATATATTAAAAAAATATATAATGTACATAACACGCTGAAAATACCACAAACAATTGGGTTTTTTTAAACTTAAGAAGCAATATAAAATAAAGGAACTAAATAATAACGACGGGATGAGACCACATTCGGAATCAGAAAATAAAATATATGTATTTTGATAAAAAAATATCGTAAGCTTAGAATTAAAGTGAAAAATTAAAATCATATAAACTATAAAAACGTTTTTAATCGTAATATTTTGGAACTTATGACAAATAGAAAATTTAAATATACTAATTACATAATACATTGGTCAATGGTCATTGATACTTTTTTTTATACCTAGAGATACACGATACTTGATAGGATGTGTATCAAGTATCAACTAATATTGATACTTGTCATATTATAATTAAACAATTCTTTAATAAAAACTGCAATTCTAATTTTATCATTTGTCAACTAAATTTATTTTATATATTTGATAAATAATCAGTACCCAATGTACCTAAAAATGTTTATTTAATATGTGGCTATGAGTAAAATAAGGAACAGTGACTATTTAAAAAAAAAAATTATAAAAAAAAGTTGTTGTTATTTATTTGTTGGTAATACCTCTATTTATCTGTACGGGTTTTTCAATTTTTTTGAGGAGATATTGAAAAAAGCTAATGAATATTACTTATGAAGAACACATTATAGTACAATTTTACTCTAGGTACTGTAAAATTTTACAAAAATCATTTGTATGTTTTCGATTATCATCACTTTATGTAACACTAGTTATACATTATGCAACTAATCTCCATGATACATGATACACTTTTTTTGTATGAAAGTTTCATCATAATAGGTATACAAAATCTACAGTGTATTTAATTAAAATTAAAGCATGATATTTAATCTATGATGTCGTTGATATTATATGTCCATCTCTAATCAAAATTAATATTATACCAGTATTTGTTTTTTATTAGTATCGACACATCGCTTATGTCAAATTTTTTGAATTCGAAAGTAATGTAGGTGGCAATCTTTTGAATTATAATTAATAAACCTAGCGGATGGGGAAAAACATAATAATTAATAAAATGTGAAAATTCTGTTCTAAATATTTCTGATTAATATTTATTATAACTAATATATTTTGAACGACGAAATATATTTAAACTAATTAATAATTATTAGTTATTAGATATATTATGGTAAAAGCAGTATCGCCTGGCCAGTGCAGTTGGCAGCGCTCATTTTATAGCAACCCAATGATAGCCTACTTCTTGATAACTTGGTAATGGTATGTGATAATCGCTTTTTGGATTATGATAACATTCTCGATTGATAATTTGTTTGTTATCAATGAGAATGACCATGAAAATTATAATCAACAAAACTTTAGACACTAAAATGTTCATCGAAATTACGTGCAATAATAATCCACTGTTTATAAATGTAGTATGAATAAGCATCTTGCATTCGACATACGTCCAGTCCTCCAGTCGTTGGTCTCAGAAATGTCTATGGTGAGTCAAAATATTTTGTTTTAGTATTATTGTACTAAATTTTAGTAGATTCAAAAAGGTAAAGCATACCATACCATAGATAAGCAAGTTGATACTACTCGGTATCGAGGATTTAATTATATAACTTACTAACAGAATACAAGCAGAAAAATAAATGTATTATTGCGATTAGGAAGATGAAAACATACATTTTTACTTGTTACATTAAACTATTTGTAAGCTAATATGTGTTTTTTTATCTAAATAATTTTTATTTTATAGTTTTTGGGCTTATAATTTATATAATTTTTGTTAAGTATATAAAATAACAAATTTACTGGCGTTAAAAAAAGCGTGTGGGAACTAAGCCGCACTTGTTCCAAATAGATATAAACTTTTTTTTTCTCCCACTTGAAGGATATTTAAAAAAAATGTATTTGTTAAAAAACATTTTTGACTTTAGATTTTTAAAAATCATGTTGCAAAATATGTTGTACACTAATTAACAAATCTAAGAATCGTATTTTGAATATGACTAAAAAATATTTGGCTAATGAATAATGATAAGAAAAACTTAATAAATCGATTATTTGAAAACAAAATCGGTTCAATGGGCGAGGGAGGAGGGGATGATGCGTCTGTTATTATTTATTAATAGTAATGAGCCTATTTGATATGACGTATCTATGTGGAAATAAAGCTAAAATAGAATTTAAAACATCAATAAGTAATATTGTTGTTTATTGACTTTCACTTGTGTACTATGCATGTTAATTATTATGACGTATTTAGCGGGATAACTCACAAGACACTATCAATATTGCGCAATAATTTATAACACGAAATTCGTAATAAACATTATTATTTATTGTCCGTTAGACAATGGATATGACCAGGGAATTTGCATAAAATGTGCATAATATAGAGTTGTTTTATGTTTGTTATCCATACAGTATTATGCAAAATTAAGTTTTGCGAAAACCGCCATACAAAATATTTATATTTGGCTAAGTTATTAATTAAATTTTTTTTTTTTTTGAAAAAGATGCGTCGCTTTTTATTCTGCTATAGACTTCGACGTGTTTTTGAAGTAAATGGTCAGAAATGTCGGCTGGAATCGCTAAACTTCGTTTCTAAAAACTCACGTCGTTTGTTTTGTTAGATTCAAGTTGAATTTTTGGTTATGTGTTAATTTAGGAGTTCAGATATCCTATACTGTTCTATCCTATTTGGTTCAAAAAAAAAAAATAAAATATTAGCCTCCGTTGAAGAAATCTTGAAAATTTTAAACATGAAAAAAAATGTTCAAAATCTGTTTGGTAGACTCCTTGGAAAGTGATTACGCGTTTAAGTTATTATTTGTATAAAATTTGAATTTTGACTTTCCGTTTCAATAAGGTTTTAAAACATATTAAGGTATTTACACAATAAACGCAAACAACATTTTACTAGGCATAAAACTACAAACTATATAAATACTAAAAACACAAAGTAAATCAAAATCAAACTTTTATATAAAAATGTTAACGGCATTTCAAGCAAAATTATATTTTTATTTTGTTTATCGTCATTACATTTTACAATATTTATTTGTATATAGTGTGTATTCACTGTTCACACTAAAAATAATGTAATTATATATTTACGGTTTTGTTATGACTTATGTATAGTTAAAAATTATTATTTATTTAGTTGAAACGGGTTATCCTTGACTTTTATTTTTTATTCATTGTTCAATTAATGTTTTCACAACTCTGACGTCTCGTATAAGTAATAATATAACATCACGAGTTTCAGGAAAAGAAGACGGGTATGTTTTAAAAATTATATTATGAGAAATAAATTATTCAATAAGTTTTACTTTTCAAGTTAAGCAACATTTAACGAAATTAATACTTTTGATTTTATAATAATAAACGCTCATTTCGTATAACATAGATCAACATTAGTCATTAAATAAAAAAATAAAATAATCAAAAATTTAATTAATTTATAAATAAACTAATAAATAATTAATATAACGCGAATGACTTGAATATTTTATTTTTGTCGAAGTAATTAAAATTCAGTCATTAATATACTATTATTTATTTTTAAAATAAGTCACAATTATTTGATACATTTTAGGTCTCAGGAATCAAGAGCTTGAGCTCTACTGAGTGCTTTAATTATTAAGCTATGGTTGCTTTTATAGAATACTTCAGAATGAATTTTTCAGAAGAATATTTACTGTATTTAAGTTGGAAACAATGACTTATTAATTTTTCTTACAACATATTTATTACTTAGACTTTTTGTCTATATCATTAGTAGTGTATTTATTATTTTTGCATTATTTTAAGCATAATCCATTTTTGTTTAGATGTTGGTAATGTGACTCTTGACTTATGTGGACAAAAATTGCCCAATATTGTAACTATTGTTTTTCGACAATAAAGGATACTTTAAAAATCAATCATAATCATTTAAAATATATTTATAATATTATCATTCTAATTATTTTTGGTATTATTGATATTTGTTTTTATTTCGTTTATTTTGACATAGATATGTCTTGTGGCAGTCAGCAATTTTTTACACATAAAAAGAATAACGGGACAATCAAATATTGATTAAAATATAAACAAGTGATATAGTAACGGCCATAGAAATCGATTAACTGATTCAAAATAAATATCATATTATTATTGTAATATCATTGAACAACATAGCGAGGTCAGTTTTTACTTATAAACAAATACTATCAAGGCCATAAGACATGATTTAAAAGTTTTTCCAGCAAAGAGAGAAAATATGCGAGTTTCTTTCTCTCATTCATATGATTATTTAAATTTTAAACTATAATTATATTTGTATGTTTTCGCACGTTGTTTTTTTTAAATTCATTATTACTATTTTTGTATAATTTAATAAACGGTTGTTCTTCTATAAGATATAAGTAGGTATTCACTTACAAAGTAATATTTAACTTGCTAACAAATTATTCTGACTTAGCGATCGGTATTTAAGTGTTAGTGCTGTAGGCTGTAGGTATGAAATAAGGCACTATGACCCGAATTTTTTATTTTTAATAATATATTTAGGTGGGCACTAAAACTGTCATAATGTTTTAAAATATATACTAATACTTAGGCCTTAGACCTTTATGGAGTGCCTTCTCCCCACCCCAATAAAATTCTGGCTTTGGTACTACACCAGCCGTATTTAATTTTGTTCATTTATGTTACATTAAAAAAAAAAAAATATTTATTGATTTTTAGAAAACCGAACCCAACAAAAACATGATTGATCCTTATAAATATTCAGTTTCAAATTTAGCATTGACCAATGAGCAGCGAGAATTTTACGAATCCAATGGTTATTTGGTTGTCCCAAAATTAGTTCCAGATTATTTGTTGGACAGATGCAGGTAATAATAATTATTAATAAACTATTATTATGAAACAATAATTATTTATAGAAATGAGTTTTATACAAAATCTTTGGTTTGCTAGTGATCGTTTTGTTGATTTATGCCATGGTCGAGTTCCTCGAAATGAGATAACCATGATGAAAGATATATCACGAATGAAAGCTGGCTACAGCGGTGAACACTTGTATGGCAAAGCACAGGACATTCTTTGGGATGAAGAGTTTTATGAATATGCCAGGTACCCTAAGGTAATTTTTTTTAAAACTTAATAACTGTTGTACAATTACCGATAACTTAATTTTATTTACGTATACTAACAGTTGGTGGATTATGTTGAGAGTTTCATCGGATCAAACATTATGGCTATGCATTCTATGTATATAAATAAACAACCCGATATCGGAACAAACAGCTCGAGACATCCAGTACATCAAGTATGGATTGTTTTGGAATATAACTGTGATTTTTTACTTTTAATGACTGAATATTATAATTTAAGTATTTTCATTTATTTTAGGATCTTCATTATTTTCCTTTCCGTCCGGCCAATTTAATAGTAGCGTCTTGGACTGCCGTTGTACCAATAACAGTTGATAATGGTTGTCTCTACGTTATACCAGGATCTCACACGGGAAATTTATATCCGCATACTTATCCAGAACCAAAAGAGGTTTGTAATAACTTTGATAACGGTATTTGTGCTGTATATGCTTATGCTGTAAAATGTATTGTTTTGATTTTTTAGGGAGAAATAAATAAAATGTACCATGGAATCAGAGGTAATGATATTGAAAATCAGAAGAAAACATACTTAGAAATGGATAAAGGCGATACAGTATTTTTTCATCCATTGCTAGTACACGGGTCTGGAGTGAATATTACTCAAGTTAGTATAATATATTGTACTGATTCGAATAAATTTACACAAGTTTTCATGTAAAGTTGCTAAAATTATGTTAGATAAACAATAATATATTGCAGCATAATGTTTTATTTATATTTGTATTGTGTGTCGTGGTGACGTTTTTGGACCAAATAATAAAAACAAGTTTATGTATGTTCCATATAGAATATATTTAATTAAAAACTAATCAAATGGATAGCGCGGCTGTTGCCGAATTGGACATTTTAACCGATTCACTGCTTTACGAAGTTCTCTGGAGTCGGACTTAGCTAGATAGCTTATGTTTTATTAAAACAGAATACTTTGTCGAAATATGGCCAACTTTTTGCATGCATAATCATCCTACAGAGAGAGAAAGAGACTATTTTACAATACCTTTAGTATTTTTTACCATTGCCTAAAACTTAAACCAAAACACTTTAGCTTTAAATTAAGTATTTACATTTTAATTTTGTTTTGTTAGGGTTTTCGAAAAGCCATTTCGGTTCATTATGCATCGTCAAACTGCCAATACATTGATGTCACTGGTACAAGCCAAGAAAATATTAAGAATGAAATTTTAGAAATTATGGCTAAAAAAGGCATAAAAGGTGTTGATTTTGCGGTAATTATTAGACCATTGTTATTATTTTTTTTATTAAACCATTAAAAACTATATCTAATTATTTTTTTAAATTTACAATTCATTTTGTTTTCAGTTTGCTTGGCAAATGCGTTGCCGTTTGATCAAAGGAGCTAAAGCCAATTTGTGATAAGTGGTTGGTTATTTAAGATTTTTTATAATTAAGTAATAATAATAATTTTAAAAGATTTATATTGTTATTCAACTGACGTTATATTTATAAAAGAAAACATTGTTATCGCCTGTGGTTGTGGATTATAAATTATAGCTATATTTTTTTAAAAAAAATTTGAAATTTTATTTTATTAACCTTTGGTAACCCGCGCGGGTTAAAAATGTAGCCCAGTCACATAATATAGTTCTGTGACTAACCTGAAAAGTTTACCTAAGTCACACTTTATTGAAGTGTGACTGGAAAATGCGCGTGACAGAAGGTTAAAGAAAGACAAAAAAACCTAATAACACAATTACACTATTCCCATAGTCCTATATGATTTTAGGTAACACTTAATAAACGAATACAATTTTATAATTAAAGAATAAAATATTTATTTTCTATAGCAATATTTTACTTATTAAGTTCAATAAATTTAATTGATATAGAATATAATACATTGCTATGTCTATTTCTCCACAATAAAAAAAAATTATACAACTATTAATTATATATAAAAACTAAAAGTATTTTTAAAAAAAAAAACAAAATGTATACTGAGGTACATTCATTTGAATATATAATGTATGGTTTTAATTTATATTACTCGTGCATTGAAAAAAAAAAACTATAATATTTAGTTTACTTTTAATCGTCAATTAGTTTAGGCGGTTGTTTTTTTTCTACCAACCATGATTCACCAGTTTTGCCACATTTTAAGATTTCGATAAGTGCTTTTCCCACATGGTCTGGCCTAGTAAAAAATAGATAACAAACATTTTATGATGTTATAATTTATATTATTTGTAATAACTGTTATTTACCTTGCAAGGACAATTAATTAAAGGATGTAATATTAGGATGAATGCATATGCATTTATATGTATAACAACTAGATAAAACAGAAAAACTTATTCATGACATCAAAACAATAAATTATTGTCTCATTTTCATTTATATACAAACCACCACAATTCATATGTGAATTTATTGAGATTACACTTCCTCCTCAGAACTACTCGTTCCATAATCCCCGACCAAGTTAAGGAAAAGTACTATACTAAAATTGTTCTGTTCTCATAAATAAAGTAATATAACGATAGAAATACTGGAAAGAATAAAATAGCTGACAGGTAAGCTACAGATTCGTTTTATAACCTCAAAAAATAAAATTGTACGTAGCGTATTTTAAGATTTTTCTATCATTTTCTATTGTTCTGTTTTTTATTAGATCCGCATAAATTATATTTATATAAATATGTTAATAATTTTTTTAATCTCGCAATCTGTAAGTATTTCTAGCAGGGGTTAAAACGTTTTTTTTAAAAAACGTTTTAAAAACAAAAAAACGCTCACAAAATTTGACCAAACATAAACGAAAATCCTTTTTTATATCTTGAACAAAATTTCCAAACTTCATTATTTCCTAACGACTTCTCAGTGACAAACGCATGTCATACCTATAATTTTGATTTAGGAATAAATAAAAACAAAAAAATGCTTTTCCCCAAAATTAAGTGTTATATATAGTTTTGGAAATATGTATATTATACTCACTCTTGAATCGGCAAATTTTTGTGCCACTCAACGAATGTTTTAGCGACTTCTTTGTGCCAAAATTGTTTTTCTTGCACTTCACAGGCCAGCGGTGTCTTGGTGAAACCCGGACAAATGGACATCATCCGAATGCCGTGCAAATCGTAATTGCGTTTATGCTGAAAAAAGAAACGACAATATTAAATCTTATTTGCACATTACGACCAGGCCGAGTGTGTTCTGTATTTCGAGTTCGTACCCCGAGGATTTTTGTAAACGACACCACAGCTTTTTTTGTCGAACTGTACACCGGATAGATAAATTCCTGATCGTTTGAAAAAGCCATGTCCGACGCGGTTTGGACTACGGTCCCGCCGTAGCCTCCACTCTGTAAGCCCATGTATTTGATAGCCAGCATAGTACCCCTCACGACTCCGGCCTTTAAACGGTTCAACGCATAATAAGCACTAATATTAATAAAAAAGTTTAAATTATAGGATGATTTTGGGAACTACAATATGTGAAGTAAACACTAGACTGCCCCCCTGCCGATAGTCAACTCAAATAAGAAATCCTCAAAACTTGTTCTCAACTCCAAGTACTGTCTCGTGAATTTTTTATCTGCATATGATTAATATGGGAACTTTGAATTTTTCATTTTAAAAATTCTGACTTGGAAACTAATCGACATTTTTATAGTTTTAAAAAAAGATCCCAAAGCATGACACTTGAAAATCCTACTTTTGATATTTCGTGATGAATATTTTTTTTAGCTTGTTATGCTAGCAGTTTCAATGGACTGTAGCGCGATTGAAGGACTGTCGAGTGTCGTATTTAAATTGTGAAAATTTTAGAATTCTTTAAATGTAAAATAGACTTCAAACGATCGGAGTAGGGGGTAAGCATTAAGAATACAATAAAAAATAAAACAGTCTAGTAAACTATAAGAAAGGGGATGCGATAACTGAACAGGGAAAATGGAGAAGTGAGAGTAAGGTCTCCAGCGGGTAAAAAAGCCGATGGGTTTTTTTTTTAAATCATGTTAATGACCTTACATAGTTAACATTAATGGTTTTGGCCCAGTTATCTAATGAGTTGTCCAGTACACCGGCGTTATTGATAACGATATTTAATTTTCCGTATTTTTTTATGCACGTTTTAAAAGCGTCTGAAACATAATATAACATTAATTAGAAAGTAAACTTTTTGTATTCCTACGTATGAAATTCTCGATATTTATGATTTAAATTTTAACTCACTTTCGAATTGTACATCATCAGTAACGTCACATTTAATGACTATAACATTTTTGTATCCATACTCAAAGGTTAAGTCTTCAGTTACGTCTTCACACGATTGGACATTTATGTCACAAACCGCTACCTATAAAAAAAACAAAAATATTGGGACTGGAGCAAAATGAGATCGGTGTGATTGGCTTGATGAATTATCACTCTTAAAAAAAACTTAAAACCGAAAAAGTGCAATACAAAAACAAAAAATTCTACCCCTACTGAGGAAAAGGGTCAATGATATTTTCTTGGTTTCCCATTGTATACCGGTAGACTATATCTAGAGATGTATGTACGGTAATATAACACATCAATGTAAATACAATAGCGTAACTAACTTGGAAATAAATAAACTAAAAAAACATTTGTATAATAGAAAACAATAAAAAAATCCATATTTTAGTTTTACCTTGGCGCCGTTTTGTAATAAGTACTTTACATATTCATATCCGATTCCAGAAGCACCTCCTGTAACCAATGCTACTTGATTTTTAACACTCATGATTGTAAACTTTTAAAACGGATTCCAAAAAAATAATAGTTTTAATCAAATATACTAATTTTAATAATAAACGTTCACGACGAACGTCTACAGGGAATAGACTTGTTTTTAAGTTGTATAATGTTAAATTTCTGATAAGTAATTAATTACTAATGATGCTGTTCAGTGCCTTAGAACCTTTGATTCGTTATTCTATACATATATTATGCGAGTGAACTAAGAAGATAATGCAGTGGCTGTATGGTTTTTGTACATATTAATCGGTTTCTTATATCTGTAATAATAAATATTACCTATATAGGTTATATATGTGTGTACAATTCAAAACAAGATATGTACAACATATTTTATCATGTATTTTTAGACAGTCTTCTATTCATTAAAATTAAAGTAATTAAACATTACAAGTAACTGTACATTTGATAAAACCGAGTGCAACGATTCGATAATAATTAATAATTTGAGTTTTTATTTAGCTATCAACAAGATAGTTTATGCTTTTGCCGTTTCAAGTTGGTGGTGCTACTCGGATATCACTGCTCAACATTTTACGAACTTCGCCGTATAAATACGTTTAATTGTAATTTACTTCCTACCATTATGCTTGTGCACACTACGCAGTTGTCTTAACGTTATTGTCAAATTTTGCTAAAAAAAAAAAATTCAAGATGCCCGAAAAGTTGTCGATTGTCGTTTCTTCCGGCCTTACGGTCCTTTCGGTTGATTTTTTTTTAGATATCATTTTTACAACATAATTTGTTGTATTTTATTATGTTCACTATTCCATTTTTAGTAGAATTCATTATTAACGAATAGCAATATTGTTTGCATTTTTTATTTATTATTTGTACTACATTGTTAAAAACTTTTTTATAAACTTATTTTTTTATGATTATCCATTTTTTTGGTAATCAATTTGTTTTTCCATTTTTACGTTTTTCGTTGTATACACACACACACACAACACACACACACACACACACATATATATATATATATATATATATATATATATATATATATATATATATATATATATATATATATATATATGTGTATATTCAAAGTTATAATTAGTTTTCAAGTAGAATTTTTTAAATGAAAAATTAAAATTTCCCTTGTAATTCACATGCAAGTAAAAATGTATGCAAAAAGCACTTAGAGTTGAGCTAAGGACCTGAATTTTTGGAAATTTCTTATTTGAATAAACTACTTTTTAGACTAAGTCGAATTATATAATAAGTAATATATTATAAAATTGTATTTTTTAATAAAATATTTTTTTTAAACCGCAATTGCATTAATTGAAAGTTACTTGAATAATTGATTATTTGGGTAACATTTTATTTGCAATAGAACGCACAAACTTTTCCATAAAAAAACACCTCTAAAGGAAAACGATATTATGAGGGACACATTTGCTAGACAATAAAATAGTGTTAATTGATATTCAACATCCTTGCTCGAAATAACCATTAACCTTATTAATTTTAATTTTAATACCTTGCAAATGCAGAGCTTAAGCAACCTCAAAATTGTTATTGAAATTGCGCCTATGGTATTATATTCCTATTGAACTTTATCAAACACATTTTATTATAACCAACAGACAACAAATAATAGTACTTTCGATAAAACATGTTTTTTTTTATGAAATATATTTCTTTATTGTAATAAATGTAACAACAAAAACTAGTATGGAACGTTCGGCATATTGGCTGGTCTCGGATTTTCATTGTTTTCGACTATCCAACAATCGCCGGTAGTGCCATATTTTAGTATTTCAATCAACGCTTTACCAACATTATCGGGCCTAAAAAAGTATTATAAATTATTTTGCTATAACTGACTATTTTATAAGCCTTGGAAACTCTAAACCATATTTTTGTCCAGAAAGCTTACTCATGAGTCATGCCTATGGCTTATATAAAGTAGGTAAATACAAAATATACTGAAACACAAATATTGGTAATGGAAAATAACCAAAAATACCTTTTATATTATACTTACGTTTGCACGGGAAACTTGTCCATTGTTTCTTTGCCTAATTGGCAGAAATCTTTGATTAAATATTGATCAGGCGTGTGGTCTTTAATGAGTGGTGTGTCCACGAACCCAGGACACAATGCCATAATTCTGACATTCAAATGTTCGAATGATGCCGGGGCCTTGAAAAAATGTACAAATAAATTTAAACTCAAGTAGATACTGTTAAAAAATATAAGTATGTTACTCCGATTGCTCTAGTGTATTCCACGACAGCTCTTTTTGTAGACCTATACATAGGAGCTATTGCTCCCGGTAAAAAAGCTGCTATGGATGCAGTCTGGACAACAGTTCCTCCCTTACCGCCATACGGGGCGCCCATATACTTAATTGCCAACATAGTGCCCCTAACGACTCCTCCCTGTAATTTACATAAACCAAAAACAACCGTAAATATAGGGGAAGATGGGGTAGATTTGTATGAAAATCATGTTATTATTTTTCATATTTTTACTTTATGTTTCATGTTTGAGAGCTCAAGGTTTGTACACAATATTATACTATTCCCAACCTCGCCAATCAAGTAATTTATAATTCATCAGTTTTTTAATATCAGTTTTAAAAATCATTATTTTTATTCAAATTTACCCCAACTAAGAGGGTATATTTGAATCTAAAGGGACAGATTTGAATGTATATATATTAAAATATGTAAAATACAATTTATTTATTTTATATAAAACTAAATTAAATTATAATTTTTTCTTTATTTAAAGTAAGTATAGAACTTAAAAATATATTATACAATATTTCATAAGGTGTATTTAGTTCTTAGTTAATTTTTTTTTTAAATTTAAGAAATTTTTAGCACTTTACTTATTAAGAAACGTTATATTTCGTTAATTTTGTTTTAGTTCTTAACTAAAACTATTTTATACCCTTAACTTCACATAACACTTAGAAAATAATTCTCCCATCTTCTCCTATTATATTTATTAAAATTGACATTACATAATTAATGTTCATTGTAGATTCCCAATTTTCCATCGATTCGTTAAATATTCCTGCGTTGTTGACAACAATGTCTAATCTCTTAAAATGATTTATACATGATTTAAATGCAACTGTAAAAACGCATTAATTACAAATTGAAAATTTTTTATCAATAATGGTAACAATAAAGTTCAATTATATTAAATTAACTAATAAAAAAAAAAACAGTAAATTATTGTTGGCATAAAAAATAAAAGTTTTGATTCAGTTGTCAATATTATTTCGGTTGATGCATGCCATAATTAATAACGATAATTGTTAATATCCAGTTAAAATGATTATGACAGAACTCTTAAGCTATTAGTTTTAAATAAAGTAGTTTGTTTCACAATGAATTTAATTTGTCTAATTTTTACTTTCAAAATGATCTTGATCGGTAACGTCACATTGTAAAGCTAAAATGTTATTGCTGTCGTAGATTTTCGAAAATTCATTAGCAACAGACTGACATTGTTTAATGTTTATGTCGCAGAGTGCCACCTAGATGTGTTACAATAGCACAATAATTAATAATATAATTTAATCGACATTTTTGTGATAAAATTAGTATAGTTATATTTTATACCTTCACATTATTCTGAAGTAAGAATTTGGTAAAAGCATAACCGATTCCAGATGCAGCGCCAGTAACTATGGCCACTAGGTTTCCAATCTCCATGGCGTGTAATAGCTATTTTAATATTGAAAATCTAAAATTATTTTTTAGATTAAACAAGAGTAAAAATGTATTTATCGTGAAATTAATTAGGTCGATATAAACTTTTAGAATATTGTTAACTACACTAAAACTGTCATGTATTGGGTAGACTCTATTAGTACTTCTATTTATCAAAATACAGCTTAAAATATTATTTCTTCAGTTGTTTTTCTGTTGTGTAACCTTCAAGCAGTTATAGACAATGTTATACCATCTGTATGAAAAAAATGCAGTCTATAGACGATAAGATACGAAAAGCGATTAGTTTTTTTTTGTTTTGTTATTATGATGTGCATATGCTATGACTACTATTATAGCTGGCTTTTTATTACTATTTAATGTCTAATACTTGTAAATAATTTTGTAAATTTTATGTTATGTTATAAATTTTGTTGCTTACTGACTTAGTCAGTTATACAATACGAATAAATAAAATGTTGACTATAATATTGCGATAATTTCGTGTTTTTGGTTTAAAAGAAACACTACCAAATATTTTACTCAAATATTTAACTCTAAATTATCTATTTTTAGTAAGTTGTAACTATTTGAAATACTATAAATATTCATTCCAGTAGTAAAAATATCATTATTTATGAACACAAAACTGACAATTAATATTGTCAGTTTTGTTTTGAAGTTGATTAAAACGATACCAACAATTTTTTCTCAATCTGCTTTTCTATCAATTTAACAAATTAGTAGGATAAAATATATACCATGTTAAGAAATATTTCCTAAAATACTCTGAACAGTAATCGGGTTTTCATACACCGTCGTATGCGAGCGACATTTTATCGGTTTATCCAATCTGATTTCCATAGGTAATTTAGTAATTACGATAACGAACATTGAGTGTAAATATACGAGTAATGTTATTATTTTAGCCTGTAAATTCTTATTTACATAATATTTTACTTGTGCTAACGAGTACAGATAACTTGTATAATAACTTATAATAATAATTTTAAAAAAACATAAAATATTACAAGAAAATCGTAGCAACACATTTTCTTAGGCCCAAAAATGTATTGCGCTAATACGGGCAGTGGATACAAAATATATTACATTTATTCTCCTTCCAACTATAAAAAAAAAATGACATTCATGTAATACCAAATGATTAATTATCTATTTATAAAATTATTTTATTATATTTTGTCAAAATATAATAATATTACGAAGAAACTGTACCGTTGTACTTGTATTATCACTTGTTAGTTACTTATCACATGTAAAATTATGGAAGCAGCTGGTCATGAAAACGTAATTTTTAATTGTGCATTTTTTCTGAGGTCTCAAATAGAGTAACTTGTCGGGTCAAAGTGGAATGCATGCGATAATTACTATTATGTCTCAATACTATAATATTCAGTTTGACGAACGGTCGTTTTTAGTGGTAGGCGACACTAGACTTCTTAGGACCACGACTTTTCTCGGTGTCTTCGTTGGTTTTAACCTTTTTTTTCGCGTTTGACGAATTCGTTCAAGTTTGATCAATTAGGTTGTGTGTAAATTAATTTCATTGGTTCCATCCGTGATGGGCTACAGGCCATTTCCTACGGTCGACAATGTAAATTTCAGTAGCGAGCTGCCGCAGCTGTTGTAACAGGTACTTGATTGGAGCCGTTATCAGCTGTTGCGATTGAGTCAAAGACCAAAGTACTCGACTCGAGCAGCAGCAGCAGCTGTTTCTCCTCGCTGTTTTTAAGGGAGGGGGTTAACACGTGGGCCGGTAGCGACTACCCAGCGGGTGTTAGCTCGTGTCGCCCACGACCCAAAAGCGCGACCACCGTCTTTGTGCGCGCACACGCCACACACCGTCGTCGTATAGTTGCAATCGTTTTGTCGACACGTTGATACGGTTTTCAAATTGTTTTTTATGTTTTTTTCAAATTTATTCGAATAGTAATCGTTATTTTACTTAATTTTTTATGTAACCGCCGAACGTGCAGCGTTTTGCACACTTCGATCGACATGTTCGAGAAAACGTTCAGTTCGTGCACCAGTAGTAAGTCTCTACCGTTGTCGTCGTCGTATAATGATATAATATGTTTTCCAGTCTCTAGATAAGTTCAAACATATGTTAACGAATAAAATCGCGTGACTTGAGATAGATTTATGGTGTTTGCGTAAAAATTCGACTCCGAGTAAAGTGTATTTTACGATTTTCCCATAGCATACAAGTGTAACGTTATGTTTTTTTTTAATATTGATTTATTTCCAAAAAAAACGAAATATTTTTTAAATCCAAAGATTTGTTATGTCTAGTCTAACTGGTATATGTGTCTATTGTTGACAGTATTGTTTTCGTGTATCCAACAAAGTGTATACCCGAAAAATTATTATACATAGTTAGGTACCATCCGAATAAAATTTCAAAAGTAGTAACCGCTCTTTACAAATCCCTACGCCACGATTTATGTATTTTGAGATGGCATTAAAAAAAAAATGCGTTTAAATACTTTTGTTTTTTAATTCATAACGTTTGTTGTTATTGTTAATAATATGTATAATTTGTCTCCCCGAGGGCGGATAAATAATTGCGAGGAATTGTTTCAAAAGGGTCACCAAAATGGAAAAAGTATTTTTTTAAATGTTAATAATTATTTAAATTTATCTTAATACCTCTAAGTTGAATTTAAGTATTGTACCTACTGTTTGGAAATATTTTGCCGTGTTTGCAAATGGGTTTGTTAAAAAAACACTTTTTAAAATTGTGCACTAACAATAATGGTCATTAAAACTTGTGTTATGGTTTTCAAAAGCCTTGAAAATCGTTTGGGTCACAGTGTCAATAGATTTAGCTATTTTAATAATCCATACATAATATTTCATTATCGTACTACACATAATAAATGGTATTAACTTTACAAGTAGGCACACTCGTAAAAGTAGTGCATGATGATAATATAATATTGGCTGCCAGCGTTATTAATTTTTGTTACACAAAATTGACAATAAAGATGTACAACTAAAATGAAATTATAATTTACGTTAATTCTGATCAAAAATATACTATTACGTTATCACATCAATTATGAAATTCATAAGTATGTCTCCTCGCTCGGTGATAATCGATAACGCTAAATTGTAAAATGGTTTTAAAACAATAAAGTTTACCTTTATAGAAAATGGAATCTTTTGAATAATCATTAAAAATAAATAATTCGATGACCTTGTATACTATTGTACTTAATAAATTCGATCATAAAACCAAAAATAAAAAACCTTATTGATACTTAATATTATCTTCAAGTAATTCAGCCAATTAAATAATATATCATAGACAAAATTGTGACCAAAAATTTAAAATGGATTAAAATCTAACTATATCGGAAATTATAATTGAAATATAGTTGATTTCAAACATCTTAATTTTGGCTGTTTATTGTCTTGTACTAATCTTCGACCCATTAACTGCATATAGTCTCAACTCTCGTGATATTAGAAGCTACAAAAAACTTATCAACATGTACATAATGTACTTATCTCAAAGTTCAAATATTGTCTTTGTATAATCCATTTATAGACAACAGACAGACATATAATAATGACAGTAACGTGTCAACAATGATTATTACCGGTTTTAATAGGATTGATGATTAAATAAAAACTGTTAAATAATTGTTTAGCATCTTTGTACATATAACATAATATATAATGGCTGAATATATAAATGTATGACAAAAATATATAATATAGAACATACTTACAACTTTTAAATAAAATGTATATTATATAAACAGCTTATAAACATGTACTCAGTACTATATTATATTGTAAGCGGGTTGTATTCCCCGTGGATTTTTCTGAAAACAACAACGTCCCATAATCATGTTATGTCATTTATTACAAGTAAATTGTATTTCCAAAAATAAACAGGTGACCCAATTGGAATGTTCTATTATTTATCCAATTTTTAATAAATAAAATGAACCATAGAAACCGGAAACATTTTTAAATAATACTACACACTACACAGATGGTGCAGTAACTAAGTATAAAATAACGTTATTTACTTGTACTTTTATCTAAAGTCTGACGTAGAAAGCTTACAACTTATCATTTAACACTATTTAAAATAATTTAATTAATTTAAATTAGTGTTTGAAAGGAATTTGTACTCATTTGTGTTCCAAAGTTAATTTAATACTCTTTTCGTTCCACCTAGTAAATTAGAATATTGCAGTTTTTAAATAGAGACTAATAATTAAACAATTATTGGGGAAGTCACGGGGAAGTCACGTGGAAAACAGTTCCCCCTCATTGGTTCTGTATTAAAAAAATAAATAAATAATAATTAAACAATAAAAATGGATATAGGTTTTGCATACAATTTTACAATATTATGTTGGAAAACATTTAATAAGTGTTGTACTATTATTACAGATGCACAAAACGTGTAATGCTCCAACAAGAACATTAAAAACAAATGACGTTATAAAAACTATTATAAATTGATGGTTCCTCAAAAAAAAAGAATACACTCCTCGTTTGGTTTTTTAATAAGGAAGTAATTATAAACTTCGTTTTGTACAATACAGAACCGTTCAGGAAATCCGTTCCTTGCTAACACACATACACACATATATATATAATATAAGTGTATCACTGAAAAATCTAAAAATCAATAACCGAACAATTTTTTTTTTGATAATTTTGTCCATTTAAATATGTACACATAATAATACAACAGAATCGTTTCAAACAAGAAGTCATATTTGTATAATACCTACACGGCTAACGTCAATGGTATTGTTCAAATAAAACTTGAAATACAAATAAAAATAAATACTGTCACTAAAAAATTAAAATGCAATAAAATTAAATGTTTAAAAAAAAAAATAAAAAAATATTCTGTAATAGGTAGATAGATAATACACCTATAGTACATGTTTTTAGTGCGTCATTAGCCTTTCTAGAACACGGTGTGCGAGTGCTGCGGTTCTTCATGATAACTAAAATTTGTAAATATTTTATATGTCATAATACTAGCAATTGTTCGAGTTGACTTGAAATTGTTCTTTTTGGTCGGAATAAATAACCGATGATAATACACGATGAACCATCAATGTGAGTTTACATATTATTGTATTTTCATAACAGCTAATATAGTAAAATACTCTAAATTAATTGCACAACATCCACACAGACGGCATACACAGTTTGACTAATAATAATATATCATTTCATGCACAACTGATAATTTGTAGAAAACGTTTTTAATCGCAGGAAATTCGAAAAATTGAAGTGCATTTATTTTTAAGTAAAATTAAATCCGTTTTATTGATATGGCACTGAATAATAATTATCTAACGTCGTTGAGTATAATATTGTTACAGTTTACATACGATTTACACTGCAGTGCTAATGCTTTACGACATACTTACTGGTATACTAGAAATATCCAAAATACTACTAAATAACAGCTATACTTAAATTGAAGCTTGTAATCGTATATTCTTTCAGTACATTCAATAAATTATTATTCACAAATAATATTTTCTACTATTTATTTATTGTTTTGGTAAAAATAGTGTTTGTGACGTTCGAACTGAGTCACTTTTATGTTTTGTAAACTAAAACCACTTGCTACATAAAGCTGCGAGTATGTTTAAATTTCATTATCATGTTCAACTTTTAAGAAATATTGAAGTATTTATTCTTTTGTTTCATAAAAAAAAATATTCATCATTATCATCAGCTTAAAGGCCCAACGCTGTCATCATGAGATAAAAAAAAATTTCCATTAAATATTGTTTTTCGATAAAAAAATTATCGTTCAATATAATGGAAAAAATAAAATATTTGAAAAATTACGACGTAGCTGTGGTTATATCGTTAAGAATGTAACAAATCATTTTTTAAAAGAGTTAAAAAATAATATCATGTAAATTGACTGCTGATGTTAATAGGGTTAATGTCCAATGTACCTTAAAAGATGCTACATAGACTCTTTAAGTATATGTTATTAACTTATATAATCATTACCACTATTGTGTACATTTTTTTCAGTAAATAATAACCGTTCGAGGTATTCATAATAATATCACATAAATGTGTTGGTTGGTTAATTTTTTTTTTATAAACGTGCTTTAGATAAAATTATACGTATCATGTTAAATGTTTGTTCATTGTTGTCCAACTTTTTAAGTGGCTTTGTTCAATCATCGCTACAATATAGCAGTATGTAAAACTAACGCGATCAAAGCCTATTAACGGCTTAAAAATGTGTTTATTCCAGTCATAAGTAATTAGTAATTACCACACTACACACACATATCTACTCATGTGTTACAATAACACACTTATCTGTGTTTTATTATTTCAATGGCCTTTAATTATATTTTTGCATTTTGAAATGTTTGTGTGTAGTTTCGAGTGCGCCCAACCAATGTTGTAATACAATTACAATTATTGTTGCATAATTATTATTGTTGTTTTCAATGCCTTTTACGTGTTTATTATTTTTAACAGATGGTATGGGAAAAAAAATATAGGTTGGCATCGAAGTTAATATGTACACAAATGGGGTATCGACGTGTTAGCTTATTAGATCTGTAGAACGTATGGCGGCTATTTATCAATCACTATTATAGCTAGACATGTTTGTGAATGGCGTTTTATTGAAATAATTTATACACAAGTGTTCGGTGAAAACGACGTAATAATATTAGTAAAGTAATAGGCTGAAGATAATAATTTTAAAATGTATTAATTCATAAGTGACACCCCATAGGGATATAAAATTTGTAGTGATATATAATAATTTTATTACGGATTCCAAAATCAAAATATAATATTATATCTTAAGAGGCGTATCAAACAAAATTATTATATAAATTACAACAATTCAGGCATTTCGGGCTAGATAGTACATCATTTTGTTTAGAAAATGGGGGGGGGGGAGGCAAACGTTTGTTTATTTCTGGTATTGACAACTGGAACTTTAAATTTAATTTTCCCCAAAAATTCAGGGCAATCAATCTCATTATAAGCTTAGTGACAAATATCATGTCTAAATATAGATACAATATTGTCGTAGGGTGTTTAAACCGCAGTACTATTTTTCATTTATCACGGAGATCGTTTTCCTCCGTGGGACTGGGAGGGCACTTGCTGTAGACTTTTTAATTAATCGTGTACTTTTGTGTGTTTTGCAGGTGGCAAATTGTCGGGTGTACGGTACCTTCAGAGTCTACTGTTGTTCCTATGTCTGGTCGCGGCCTACCTGTTGCGCGTGAGCATATCCGTGGCTATCGTGGCCATGACACCGGACAAGAATTCCACAGATTTCATATCCGAAGTCCATTATCACATCCCTGTTAGTAAATTAAAAATAATATTATATTATATTGTGTGGACTTTATTTTACGAAATATCTATGAAGTATAGGCAATATATCGTCAAAAAGAGTCAATAGGACAAAATAGAAATTAGGAATCGGTGAATTTTGAATATCTATAGCTAGCCACCCGACAAAAAAAAAGTTTATGTTGAGTCTGTGATATAGTTTAAACAGCCTACGGTTATTATAGGCTTGGACTCTGCAATGGGTTCAAAACGGTAGCATAAGATCAAACACGTGGTTGTCTGGGCAGCTGTTGTTAGTCGTGAAAATGTGACCGTAATATTGTTTTAATCTTTAGCATCAAATACTATTACTCACTAATTAAAATTAATTTAAACCTTATTGACACACTAAACACGTTGAACAACAATAATACATATACATTATTATCAGACGAAAGGAATAATTGTTTAATTGCATCATTGAAAGGAAACATTATACTATGGTACCAACTACACACTCATTCTCTTTTTAGAATAAAAAATGGGCAAATAAAAAATATTTAAATATATGTATATATATATATATATATAGACATTTCACTGAGGCAGTTACTTTGAAATAACTGTGTTCAGCTAGTCACTGCATCTTAAAGGGTAAGTTTTGATTGTAGAACCTAGGACAACTAGAGATTGCTTGGTACATTAGCTTAGCCATTTGGCGAAGTGAGAAGTGTGTGGGGATCTTTTATCCTTGCAACATACATATTAGAGACATAAGAATAAGAAATAGTTTTTGTTGATTTGTCTATAAAATCCATCAATAGGTGTTCGAATGGACTCAGCGCACGAAGAGTCTGATCTTGAGCGCTTTCTTCTGGGGTTACCTCATAATGAATCTGCCCGCTGCCATGCTTGGCCGTCGGTATAACAATCAAATGCTGTTGGCGATGAGCATGATTTTGACGGTCGCCCTAAGTCTCGTCACGCCAACTCTAGTCGTGGCTTTTGATTGGCCGGTGCTCGTGTTCATTAGGTTTTTACAAGGAATCACACAGGTGCGGAACTATCACAAAGCATTACAAAAGAGAAAAGAGTCATAGAAATGTAATCTGGTTTCTTAATATAATTTTTGTTGTTTCCTTTTACATTTCATGTCCATCAATCATGCAGGCGTTCACCATGCCAATGATTCACGGCATCAGCGCCAAATGGGCTCCACCAAATGAACGAGGCCGTCTCGTCGGATTCGTGTTGGGAGGTAAAAAATGACACCAGTCACATTGAAACATTATCCTCCCGCACGAGGTGCTCGTGAGAAGTAAGATACACGGCTTATAATATGCTCGAAGATTTTAACATGCATGAAGATTATCCGTGGCTCTTTAACACACTTTCATACTCATTCTTTGGATTTTACATTGGAATCTTGCGCGCATGACATACATGGCATTCGCTAACAACAAGTCAGTCGATACGAATGAAAATTCTGTTCACTTTTTTTTTTTTTTTGTGATCTAAAACGTTCTAAATTGTATTTTAAGCCAAACACTAGAGAGCGATTTGAAACGTTATTGAAATATCGGCTAATTGATAATTTGGTAAATATCTTGGTATGCATATACTATAGGTATAATATAAGTATACGACCCAAAATAATTCGACTGATAGGTAGTTGTTCACAATGCATTTACTTAAAATGTAGGTATCTAGCATAAATAAACTTCGTCACTGGACTGAACTTGAAAGACACGAATAACGTTGGTAGACAATGTCGTTAATAGGTTACTGTCCGTGTCAGACAGTTCATTTTGGAACTAGACTTGTAGTGCGCTTGATACATTAACAGTTATCGCATTGTCAATAAATGTGAATCTTTCGAGTATCGTTGTTTGTTCTAGAGGTGACAAAATATATTTCCACGAGCTCTGACATAAATATTGACGATGTGATACACATTGTTATCTAAGTAAAAAGTTTAGTTTTTTTTTTAACCTAACATTTATTCATTTAATTGTTTACTCGTAAAAAAAACATTTAAACGGATCGAAAATTAATAAATGAGTCATTTTTTATCTTGTTAATATTTGTAGAAAATAACGCTTCCGTGTGTTCTCGATGAACATTGGACAAATATTTACAATTTAAATCGCGATTATAATCAAACCGATCTACGTGTGACATTATTCAAAAGACACGAGTTATGATAATTCGTCGCGAATCAACTCGTGTACAACTAGTTTGTACTTAGAAAACAAATGTCTGATAAAACGCTCCATCTTGCTCGTTATAATTACAGTTACAAAACTTTGAACCTTTTTAGTGCGATAAAAAATTTTCAAAGTCTAGAGGCGCATTATTTTGCACAATATTCTATCAGTTCGCGCCGAACGGTAGCTAACAAATGATCTTTATAACATTTCTAAACTCAGCGTTTGAATAAAACAAAGTTTATGCAATAATCCTACATGCTTACAGTCAATTTGAGCTTAGTCTATGTAAAAAGTGTGTGTGTTTCGAACATTAGTTGTGCGTTGTGCGGCCGACGTCGAATGACGTCGCACTATAAATGATTTACATCAACCACCAGACGTTGGCAGAATGAATTTCGAGAAAATGCTTAGCCCTCTATTGAGTAAAACATTTTTGAATCATCTTTTCGCAGACTTGATCCTTTAGCGTTAGTCGGTAGAAAGTTCACCTCGTGCGCCGGATAATTTATAAACATAATTATAATAATAACGATATGCTCATAAACAGCAGAGTCTCTATTGTAGTCCCGTCTCGAGTTTGCCGATAAAGTAATTGTGTATTTAAATTTGATTTAGGTCTTCAGTTCGGCACGGTCCTCACGTTGGTTGGATCGGGGCTGTTGGCCGGAAGCCGGTGCGGATGGCCGGCCATATACTATGTGAGTGGTGCTTTCGGAATCGTTTGGGTGGTGTTGTGGCTATCGTTGGGATCAGAGAGCCCGGCAACTCATCGACTCATCTCGTCGGCCGAGAAAAACTACATCCAGGCATCGTTGACGCAAACCATTTCCAGCCAAAAAGTAACCACTCGCATTAGCACTGTTAACCGTGACCGCGTGAAATAGTCAGAACCAAAAAGATAGCATAAGTGATTTTTAGTAGAGAAATAATGGTTGTTTCAACCTTTTTGGTTTTCACCATTTCATGTACTACATTCTTTGGCAATCATTATAATTATTCAATCCAATGCGTTGTAGAGGGTGGATCACATTTGTGAACAGGGGTTAGCGTGTTGAAGGTTTAGTAGTAAGCTGGAACCTATACTTTTAATCGTACTATTTAGACCGCAGGGTCACAGGTTAGGTTAGCACATCGATTAAAGGACAGTACCCACATTTTACATCTAGTCTCAGGATCTAATCCCATAATGATCAGTCTGCATTAATAGACTTTAAAATGTATCTTTTTTGTTTTATGTAATTCTAGAATTTAATTACTCCTTGGAAAGAGATCTTCTCGTCGATGCCAGTGTGGGCCGTTACCATATCGCACGCGGGACACAATTGTGGATTCTGGCTGTTGCTAAGTGAAATGCCGACGTTCATCAGCTCCGTGCTTAAGTTCGACATAAAATCGGTATGGGCGCTATGTAGCTAAGCGCAATTGCTTAAACGGTACGTAGATGAGTTAATACGCATCGGTTTGCTGCAGGATGGATTGGTGTCCGCGTTACCGTACTTGGCCATGTGGCTGTGTCAATTTCCAGTCACGTACTTTTCTGACATCATGAACAAGAAGAACGTGACATCTCTGACGGCGTCGAGGAAAATTTGGAATACTATCGGTAATACAAATTTGCTATGGTTACGCCGTTTGTTTTATGAATAATTGGGCACCGTGAACAATAGCAAATGTGTGAACGAAATTTGTTTAAGATCCTTTGCTCTCTGATTGATTATGTTAGAACGTTAGTCGTGATAGTGTGGCCGAATATTGTCTCACTCGGACGAATCTTGTAGCAAATCAAATCTTTGACGGCATGTCAGAGTGGTAACTTTGTTGACTTTATCTTTATTATTTTTATTCTCACTTAAGGTATGAGCGGTGGAGCGGTTGGACTGATAACGCTGGCATACATGGGCGAAAACGCTAATGCCGCCATAACCCTGTACATTTTCGTGGTGGCCATTGGATGCTGTACAAACGTGGGATTCAATATTAATCATTTGGACTTGGCGCCTAATTACGCCGGCATACTCATGGGCATTACTAACGCAGTGGCTTCGCTCGGTGGATTGTTGGCGCCAATGCTAGTCGGGTTCATCGTACACGACCAAGTATAACACAACAAATTACTTAACTCGTTACTTCTATAAAAAAAATAGTCGAATCTTAACCTTAGTCGTTTTTAGCGTTTGAACTTTAATAGAATTTTTAATATTTTTATTTATTTTTCTTATTTGTACTATAATTATTTTGTTTTTTTTGCAGACTTCAGTTGACGAATGGAGAATCGTGTTTACCCTGGGCGCAGCCGTGTTGTTCTTTTCGAGTATTTTTTATTTACTATTCGGTTCCGCTGAGGTGCAACCGTGGAACGATCCTGCAAACAAAGACGGTAATAGTTAATTTGTCTAGAACATTTTTTTTCACCTAGGTCAGGCGCGGATCTAGAAAATATAATATGACGGTGGTTTAAGACGAACTAGCAATACATAGACGGATAGGCCCACCGAGAAACCGGCCAAATCCTGGGGGGGGAGCCGTTTTTTTATGGAAAGATATTGCGAACATCTACCTTTGAAAGTGATTTTAAGGATAAAATACCTATTATAAAAAAGATAGATGTCAACCCAAGATAGAGAAAGTCTCGTTTGAGTATTTCAAAATATCAATCAGAAAAATAGTTACAAATACTTGAAAAAATGTATTTTTGCATTTATTATATTGACCTATGCATTGTAGATGATGCTAAACGAGGTTCCTTCGGAAATCTTACCCTCTATCTTTTTCATTATAGGTTTTTTTATCTTTACTATCACTTTGGGGTACCTTTTTCTGTTTTGCGTGAACATGTTTTGATGAATTTTTTTTTTAAACCGCTGTCAAGGATGCTGTGACAGTCCGAAAAATAAATTAACTGCCAAAAAAAAAAAAAAAGACTCCTAATTACTGAACTAATAACTAATTACACATCACACAGATTTTGCACAATATTACCTGTACCTAACTCCTTAATAAATAGGGGGGGGGCATGACGCCCTCTTAATTCTAGGACTTATCGATAATTTCGATAATAATTTACTTAATTAAATGGCTTTTGTTTTGTGTTTTTCAGTCGGTTTGCGTGGGTCTTTGCAGATGAAAACCGATTACGGGTCTGCCGGATACGCGTCGCCGACATTTGGTAAATTTGCGTAAATCCAATACACGATTTGCGCGAAAATTTTGAGAAAAACGAACATGTATGTTTTTTTTCGCCCACAGTTAAAGTTTCTTCAAGGTCTGCGCTGTTCGTAAGACAATTATATTAATTACCACGGACTTTATACGACTATTATTATACGAAGAAATCGGATTATATAGATACAAAAAAAAAAAAAATCTAGTGAGCCGCGGACACACACACATTACATTACATTTTTATTCATTTGTTTTTTTTCTTCATTTTTGTGGGTTAATTATTATTTGTTTGTTTTAAAACATCAAATTTACTGCGAAGGCAATCGTTTGATTTCCGTTACGGTTTCGCCGATTCCTAGCCGAAACATTATACGGCGCCTAAAGATGTTTGCACGTCAAAAAGTAAAAGTATATTATATTTTTTTATAGTTATTATACGTTGTTTTTTTAAAAAAATAAACTTTTATTTTTTGTTATTATTTTGTTGATTAAATGTATAGAAAGCTTGTCTTCTAATTATTATACCTAAAACAACTATTTTTTCTCGAATGTTATCAATTGTCATTATTTATTAGTAATCAATGTCTGAAAAACCTTTAGGTTCCTTATAACTCCAACTTTCGAGAATGCATTATTTCCTTTTTAGTGAATCTATTTATTGTGTTCTTTTATTTTTGGCGGACTGTAAGTATACCTACATATTTTATCAAATCAATATGATTCCAAAAAATATAATATCTAAAATGAGATATCAATTATTTAAATATAATATAAATGGTATATATAATATACGTGTGACCTGAACAGTATACAAACACAATTATCATTTTTTTCTCAAATCTTTAAAATATTATAATATGTATATATATAGGCCACTCAATATCTCACTGGGTTTAATTAATAATTCACAGTGTTATTATATAATGTGATCTCAATTTTGCACAAATTATTATGTTTCTACTCCTCTCCCAAACTAGTTTTTTTGAAAGCAACTTGTGAAACCTTTTGAATGGTATCGTACACATTTTTAAAACTTTTTAAATTAAGAATATTTCACTAAAAATTGGTATTTATTTTGCGGCGACAGTATACAATATCACGTTGGCGTCACACGATAATTATCGTACAACGGTCGTCCGGTGGCGATGGTGTTGGTCGAACGACGCGACGTTTCCCCCCAGAAATGGTCACACTGGGTCCGATGCGTTTTTCCACGGTTAATGATAACAGACGCGCTATTTGATAAGAAATGTCTATTTGTTTTTGTTTATGCGCAAACAACATTATATATTTCGGTAATATTATTATTATTGTTATTACTTATTATAATTTCGAGCATTTGTTTCCGAACGATTAAAAACCAAAGGGTTATGACGCGATCCTAATAGATTATGGCCAATCTCGACGAAGACCTGTCCCGCCTGTCAATAGGTATGTAATAAACCGACAAAGGTTGCCAAAGGCTTGAAACATTACAATGTTGTCATTGTGTATAAAAAAGCTCGTCCGTGTGGGCGACGAGAGTAATTCTTGGCTTGAAAGTCGAACGGAACCGACGTTACCTGCAGTGCTTGCTATAATTACTCCGAGGCCGACGGTATTTGTATATTTTCACCCACCAGATCTGTTCTGCTTTTGTTCAAGTCCAACTGCCATGTGAGCATTTGTGCTTGGCGAAAACCAGTAGAAGTTTCACGCATTTCCCAAATATTAAATATTTAATTTAAACATTATTTGTAATGTCTATTGTAGCACGGTATCGGCGATTAAGTATGAATGCTATCTTACTAATGTCAAATGTCCTTCAGAACAATTAATTTTATTAAAAAAAATTAATTAAATTCACTAGTTTCGCTTTTTACATAAATATGGTTAATATAATACTTTTACTATATTTTGTTTTTAACAATGCTTTTTTTTGCTTTTTTCTTCAAATAATTTGTTTTTTACTGTTGGTATATTTTAAGCTATCATTTATTAGTTTGTTTATTTTTTTCATCTTCTGATATAAATGTTAACATAAAAAAAAAAATTAATTTTTCAGTCAGGTATAAATATTTTATGTATAATATTTTTAACAAATTGTAGATAGTTAATGAAATCACAGGTCCAGGAATCCCGTTATATAATTTAAAAAAAGTAATGGTGTTTTTCCGATAATAATCAGCTTAATTATAATGATGTTTTATACCAGTAAAAGCCAAATTTATAGATTGATTTTGAGAATTTTTTTTTTTATTTCTTTGTTTATAAAAAAAGATTAACCATCTATTATGTGGTTTTTTTTTTAATATGATAAATTACACTTATGTTGTAAATTTAATTATTGAATAATTATAATTTGATTATAATTATGTTAAGGTAATTTTATTTTAAGATATTATTATGCAATTATTAACATTAGTAAGTATAAAATGTTATTTCCTCTTAAACAAATTCAGTTTTATTAATTTACTAAATAAAATTAAAAAACTTAGGTAAATGAGAAAATCCATTTTTTTTTTTAGTACTTATTAATAATTTTTCTTAGATGTTCTTAGCTTCGAGCGTTTTTTAGTATTTTGTTTTGCAAGAGAGCAGTATTTAGTAATTAATAATTAAAAATGTTCTTTTAATAAAAAAGTAGCATTTACATCATAAAGATTACAAAACCAATAAATATTGATTTACCATTAGGTGCAATATTTTGAATACTTAGTAGTAATAACTTATGTAATACGTACGTTTGTTCTTTTAGGTGATGACCCAAACAATAAATTTAAGAAAGATAAAGCCCAGAGGGATTTGGAAATATATAGACCAGGTAGTGGTCCACTTAGACGCAGCGGGAGTTCACGTCAGGAGGGTGATGACGATAGCTCTGTATTTTCTGGGTACGGCCGTGACTTAGACTTGGGAAAGAAGAGCGACTTCATTCCTAATAAACATTTTGAAAACTCAAACAGAAAGAAAGACAATTTTCCACGAGGGCCATCTAAAACAAATGGTTTTGCAGCTGACAATTATAGTACGTTTAATTTGAGACGAAGACAACAAAAGAAAACTCAGCCGTTTTACGAACCACCAAACGAATGGAGTGAAGGTAGCAAACGGCCAGATCGGCCACGAGTAAATTTCGTTCATCCTGACGACTCTAAAGATGACGATGGTAATTGGAGAACCCATAAAACGCCCAAAACGGTGGTTGCTCCAAAGATTATAAAAAAACCTGAGGTTAAACCTGTCCCCGAAAAACCAGCAGTATCGGTTGTGGAGAGTGCGCCTAGTTTGGCTGTTGTTACTCCTCGTGTTAATTCGGCTGTTATTACTCATCGTGTTAATTCGGCTGTTATTACTCCTCGTGTTAGCTCTGCCCACACTCAAAGTACACCTGAAAAAATCCCAGGGTTTGTGAGTCGAAAAGAAAAGAAACCTATCAATAAAACCGCACTTAGTAGTATTTTATTGTCTTATGAAAAAATGCCTCCACGATTCCGTAAAAAGTTTTGTGAAGAAAACAATATTACTGTGGAGGAGGTTGAGTCGTACATTACAAATGGAATTCCACCGTCCCAGGATGACCACAAACCCAACAATTCGTATCAGTCTAGAAGCCAAACATTACCATCAAAAAATAGTAAAGGAAGGTTTAACGAGCCCCCAAGACAACACGAACAAGTGTTTTACAGGACGAATACTGCAAATCAACAGCAACCAAAACCTGAAGTAAGAAGAACTCATTCAATGGCTCATAGCACATCAGACCATAGTAAACGAGTCAACAACAATATTGAATTTGGCTTGCCCGTCAAAACCGCAAATTCAAGTCACATAGAGCCTAGTAGGATTGACGATTCTAAAGCTATTCATGATGATTCGTCAAACTGTGTTAAACAGCCATTGGAAAGTGCAGTCATATTGCCAATTGGTACAATCGTAAGTTGTTAACATTTAAATGTAATACATATTATGGAAAAATGTACATTTTTTTTTAATTTGATTAAATTTATTTTGTTAGAATTGGGCCGAGGAGGTTGAACGAGAGGAAAATTTGTCTAAAGTAGCTGAAGACACAAAAAAAGAAATGAATGAAAAGAAATTACTAGAGCCAATTGAAAAAACTCACAGTTCCAACAGAGACAGAAAACGGAGAAAGTATGCGATTTTTATTAAAAACTATTGATAAAGTTATAAAAACAAAATATATTTTCACAGAAGTGTGAGTAAAGATAGAAAAGACATTCCCTTACCTCAACACGATCAGTCGTCAGGTAGTGCACATTCTAAATGGCACGGTAGTCACGTCAACGACAATACCGAACGATCGAGTAGTAATGGTAATTGGAGAAGTGATAAATCATTGAAGTCCAACAGGAATCGTAGTAATGATCGGTCGAGAATCCAGTCGAGCGTCCAGTCAAGACTACAACGAAACAGGTTTATTATATTTCCATAAGTTTTGCTTGCTTTTTGTTTGTACAAGGATTTTTAAGTTTACAAGTCTCTTTAAAATAGGCACAATAGTGAAAAATCAGCATCCCAAAAATCAGAAAATATTGCCGGAATAATCAAACTGCCTCCGAATGTCAGCACTGCGGACACTAATAAGCTCTCTCTCAACGGTTACTTGAATAAAACCATGACAGCGCACGCTTCGCCGTCTCCTTGTCCAGCCAAACAGTTGTTCAATCCAAACAATCCTAACAAACCAATTGTAATATCTTCGAAACAGCAAAACACCAGAGTGGGATACCCAGCACCGAGCGTAGATCCACATCCTCCGAATGACTATTACAACATAAGAGGTGTCAATGCTGTTCCTGTCCAACAATTTTCCGGTGCACATTTCGGCAATCTGCCACCTAGTTGGTACGATCCATACACGGAAAGGTATTGTCATGTCAAAAATAAAAATAATATACTTCATTTTGTAAAACTTTTTGTTTTTATCATTTAGTTATCGCAAGGCTCAAAATCCGATTTTATTGTTGGACATAAATAAAGCGGATTCCATCATGGAAGAACTACTGTTTGGGCCGAACTTGCTTCAGAATTGGCCCATCATAAACTCTTGCAGGTATTTTTTTTTCAAAGAACAAATGAAATATTATAAATTATATCAAATACTTTGTGCCAATATAATTTGTTTAATGGTAAAATTAATAAAATAATGTTAAATATTCCAGGGAGTTCTTGAAAGATGCATTAAGAGAGCTTTTAAAGATAGACTTAAAATTTTGCCAAAGGGAAAATGTGGAATCACATTTTTGGAAAATTTTGTATCACAACATCATTGAGCAACTCAAGAAGCTCATCAGCGAAGACTCTCCAGAATTATCTAAGGATTATAGCACATTGCTTATGAATTTAATAGAAGAAGTATGTTACAAGTGTTTTACCATAAAATGTTATGTGTAATACGGTTACATATTATGTGTATTTTTGAGATAATTAAATCTCTTCTTTCCAATTTTAGGGTATGAAATACATGAACGATTTGCTAAAGTTTTTGGAACAAACGTATAGTTTTAATTTGGACGATTACATGTCCTTGACTTGTCTATCAACAAAAAAACTCGGTGATATCGGTCTTGCTTTGATATCCTCTCAAAAATTGTATATATCGTTAGGAGACTTGGCGAGATATAAAGACATTATGAATCACAGCACCAACTATGTGATTGCTAAACAGTATGTTTCTAATATTTTTTTATAAGATTAAAAAATGTATATTATCTTGTTATTATTTAAAAAAAATATATATATGTACATTTTTAGATGGTATACTAAGGCTAACCAAATAAACCCCAAAAATGGTAGGCCTTACAACCAACTCGCTCTGTTGGCCGTGTATGAAAAACGTAAGCTTGACGCTGTGTATTATTATATGAGAAGTCTGATGGCTTCTAACCCGTTTCAATCTGCCAAAGACAGTTTGTTGTCCCTGTTTGAAGAATATAGGAGAAAAGTATATTTTCGGTTATTAAATGAAAACGATTTGGACGAGGTCAGTATATTTATGTTTTTTGTTGCAGTACGAAATGACTGACAGGAAACGTCAAGAAGATAGAGAACGACGAGAACGAGAAAAAGCAAAAGAAAAAGAGAGCGTTATATCAACCAAGGAAAAGTACAGCAAAAGAAGAAAAGAAATTTGGATACACCCAGACGGTGGTAAACGATCGCACAGGACAACATCTACCACTGAACCGACTCAAGATATTGATGAAGAAGAACTGTCCAAGTTATCGCAGTCCGAAGTAAATATTTGAACATCGCAAATCATAAAAAAGATCTTGTGGCATTATTTTTTTTAAATTATTTTTATTCATTCCAGGTCAACAAACGATTCATTGTAAGTTTCCTGCACGTTCATGGAAAACTATTTACTAAAGTCGGGTGAGTTTCCCAAACATGTCCATGTTGATCATAAAGAGTTGATACACTATTTGAATTACTTTATCAAAATATTGTTTTTACATCCATAGTATGGAGACCTTTCAAGACACTGCATTACAAATGCTTCGAGAGTTTCGCAAATTATTGTCGCACACACCAATACCGATTATAACGACAAGATTTCTTCAATATCTAGCGTTGAACATGTTTGCAATTGAGTACAGTCGACCGAAAGGTAATGTACTTAAGTAACATCATTTGTGTGAGTGCCTTTAAATGTTGATGCAAAGCTGAAAAACTAATTTACAATGTTGTGTTTTTATATTTCTTTTTTATTTGTGTAGCAAGCCTATAGAAATCATACCCGAAAGGTCTGAAATCAAACTTTTTTTTTTATTAAAGGAAGTGTTAGAAATGACCAAGTGCAAAAGCATGTTTAAATGCCTTATTATAAAAAAAAATAAGGCATTTAAACATTTTGAACACTATTTATTATCCAATAAATGATTTACTTTGAATAGTTTTTACTATCTACAGTAAGTGTAGTGAATAAAAGCAATTTTAGAAATTGTATTCATAAAAGTAAAAAAAAACTTTTTTTAAAAATACTTCCTCGCCCCATAACAGAAATCCAATATTCATAAATATTATTAATATTCTTCATCATTACTGAAAAAGTTTCAACCTACTGAAATAAAAAAATATATTGAGTTAAATATATCATCAGTATTTTTTTTTAATTTCATTTTGATGTTAAATAAATTAGTCTACAGTATAGAAAATTTTATTTTTGTAAACAACTATTGAAACTGTTGTTATGATAGAAAATCTAAATCAATTTAATGAATATTGGTTTTTTGACTAGGTGATAGAGGAATTATTTAAAAAAAAAATGTTTTCTTAATTTAGGTTTGTATACATTAAAACTCAACTTTTGTGAGGTATTTTGAAAACGATTTTCAAAATTTGCTTTTTTGTACTACTCCCTAAAAAACAGTTGGCATCAAATCATTTTATTTGAAAGTGATTTTATCGCTTTCATTTATAAGTTGTTAAGCTTGTGACCACCAGATCCCACTAAGCTGGCATTTTTTTTTTACAATGTACTACATGAAAACAACGTAATTTTTTTGTACAGATACGCATGTGGAACAGGGTTATTGGTCTACGGTGCACGAGTGTGCGTTGGTCATGGCATTGCAAATGTTCAGTTTGATTGTGGACAGATGCAATCAGCTGTTAAAAGAATTGCTGAGCAAAGAAGAAGACACTTCCATGGCCAAACACTTAATTGGTAGCGACGTCGACTTCCTATTACCACCAATCAAGGTGTGGTGTGATTGGCTGTTGCGCAACTCCAAGGTATGGAATCCGCCACCATCTTGTTCGGACTACAAACTGAGCGGTAGTGGTGACTGTTGGAGTAGATTGGCTTCGTTGGTAAACAATTTGGAAAAATTCCAACAACAATATAAATTATTTTTGAATGAAGTCGATGAAAAAGATCCAAGTAAGAGTACCACAATGAATATTTTACTGATTTAAGTTGTTTACAATTGTGTTTTAAATTATAGATGCAATACAACTTAAGCTTCCCGAAGATTCTATGTTCAGCGGTTTCACTCCGATTATCGGTTATGAACTTAAACCCGTGTTTATCCAACCTTCATCGGATAGAGTAAGTAACCCCCGCATCTTTAGGTTTAGTTAATACTTAATTATATTTTATTGTATTGTGTTCAGGATTTGTCCGAACTCGCTTTGCGGGTGAATTGCATATTGTTTTTTGGAACAGAATTTTTGTGTGGTACTGAGCCTCCGGTATTCAAACTGCACAAAACCGACACCGGAGCCAGTGAATACATTTCGGTTGTCGAGACGGCCACTCCCAAAGACGATGTGAGTAGTTTAAAATGTCTTAAATCTTACAATATTACTATATAGGGTAATGACAAACAAATATTTGTGTTTACAGAGCGAAGACGAAGATTTATGCGTTGAAAGTTGGAGCGATGAAGACAACGATCAAAAGTCTAAACCTTCCGAGAGTAAATCCGTAACGGAATCTTCTACAAAACCACTTTCGAATGAGATACAAAAACTTTTAAGCAGAAAAGAAGAACTGGAAAAAAAGCAGCGCAACGAAGAATTGCGACAAATAAGAGTACAGGTAAAAACATTATGTCATGTTTCAATGTCAAGACCTTAAAATTAAACGTACACAATATATTTGCAGGAAATACTGAAACAAGTTTCGTATTGTGTGGAAATTGAAATCAAACCGCATTATGTAGTTCCTGATACAAACTGTTTTATTGACTATCTACCTCAACTGGACAAATTGATCCACTCGTTTTCCCAAGCCCAAGAACATGTGTGTACTCTCATGATTCCTACTGTCGGTAAGTGAAAAAAAAAAACTAAGGTGGTGTACTTAACTTTTGTGTTGTCATTGAAATGTAATCAGAAATTTTGTTCCATTAGTTTTGATCGAATTGGAGGGATTGGCCAAGGGCGGTTGGGCACGAGAGACGGTTTGCGACGCTGCCAAACAAGCATTGAAAATATTGAAAAACCTTGATACTCCAGCAGTTAAATTTGTTACGACAAAAGGATCTAGTTTTAAATCCTCAACGTTCTTTGAAGAGGAAACTAACGTCGTGAGTAGAACTACTTACGAGTTGTTTTTGAAAATGATTACCGAAACATTTATAATATAATATAATTATGTTATCTATAATTTTGTATTTTTAGGTGGGTAATAACGACGATAAAATCTTGACCACTTGTCTTAGTCTCTGTAAGCACAGTTCTCAAACGGCACCTGACAGTCTGCAAGAAGGTAATTTTGCCTATTATTGTCATTACATATTATTTTTGATTTAATAAGTTTATAAAATACCGATTTTCGTCATCGCAGGTGAACCTAGGAAAATTTACAGGGATGTAGTGTTGCTGACTGAAGATCGGAATCTCAGAGTCAAGGCACTGTCGTCCGATATGCCGGTCAGAGCTATTATGGATTTCATAAACTGGTTGAATGTCAACAATAGTTGATCCATTCAGTTGCAGCCATAGGAATGCTGTGTATTGTTCCTAATTACAAAGACTTATGGAGTGAATTTTAAAATACGACTGCTTATGGTAAGTAAACAGTACACACGATAGTGATAACTATAACAATTACGGAAAACACTATTATGTGTCACAAATATGCATTATTGAACGAGTTAAGAGAAAGCATATTGAAATAATACCACGACATTGTCATTGAAATGAGCTAAATTATATTGAAAGTTCATTTAAAATACATTTTTTCAAAGAAGATCCGATAATGTGGACAAAATTATTCCCATGTAATTTGTACTAAATAAATAAATACAATTATATTGGATTCGAGTATGATATGTATACTATAGTCACTTGACAATTATTTAATCTATTGCTGTTTAAAATAGTTATTGGATGTAGGGACTCGATGCAAAACCTATTCTATGTTTTAATATTTAAAAAGCAGCCTGGAAGTTGTATTTTTTTTTTACAAGTACTCATGAAAAAGGGATTTGTGTTTTTGATACTATCTATTAAAAATACTCATGTTTTTTCTCACCTATTATTATTATTTGTAGCTCACTTATTTGACAAATAATACGAAAAATATGAGCAGCTGCCACGGTAAAAATGTCACGAGGCTGTTAAATTGCGTACATAACTACCGTCGCTGGTAGGAGACTTAACGATCATGCGCTATAATATGGACATAAAAACAACTTTGGATGTCTTAAAAAAGATGGGCGTTAACAAAAAAAAAAAAAAAACACTACTATCATCAACCGACGACCATTATAATGTTTACCTAGTCAGTTGGACCTTTACCCCGCCATGACGATATTATCCTAATCACAATTACGATATTATTATTATTATTATTAAACATATAAACTATCAGTTAAGTGTTACAACAACAGATAAAACAGTTGTGCAACAAACGAAAACTAAGTCTGTGACACAAAAAGTACCCGACCGTTTTGCAATAGTGTTGTGAACAGCACTTCTAAAATTTCGACATTTTCTAAAATTTGAGGAATATTTATTATAAATACATAGTAAACGAAAAAAGAAAAAAAATAGGCCAATTTTGAATTTTTGTCCGAGTATAGTATTGTCACATAAGTTGTATATTTTTGAAATTTAAAGTGTATAAAAATTGTAAAATAGTTAATATTGAACTCAATAAAAGCAGTGTTTGACCGAAAGATTTTCAAATATATATGAATAACTAACAAAATAGTAATTAATATTTAACTCATTAGTGAAATACATTATATTTTGGAGCATCACTGTTTTTAACTAAAATAATATTTTTAATTAGTCCATAAACACAATTACTTACTGAATATGACCAATAACCGCAATCATTTTAATAAAGAAAAATTCTAAACGAATTTTAAAAAAGTACATTATTAATAAATAAAAACATAAAGTATAAGACAATATTTTTTTAGTTCTCTTTCCATATACCTGATATTAATCGTTACATATATATTGTACCGTTATAATGTATTGGTATTTTGTTATAGTCACTTTTTACACTTGTATGTGATTATTCTTAAATTCATTTTTCACGATGTATATTGTCGTCTTTAAGTTTTTAGCTTTCGGGGAAAATACTTGTTTTTGGCTGTTGTAAATCAGAATCACGAACTCTGGGTATAATATTGTTTACACTTTACATATTATATTATACATAGTATATTAATATTATAGCACAGGCAGAGTCCAATTTGTGATATTATAATAATCATAATTCACGTATGCGCCGTACCTATACCAGTTTTGTGGCCTTTCGGCTATCGTTTTTGTCTCTATGTCTTATACCAATATTCAATTATTATTATTAATACCGCCTCGTAAAAAAAAAAAAATACTTTTTCAACTATGTTTCTAAGCTAAAAATATAAGAAAATATTATATATTAATAATTAGACGGTGCTTGGTGATTACACGTTATTACTCCCTTATCGAGTTTACGATCTTTTCCATAACTACTATAATGTAATAACACTACTAATAATAATGCATGTGTTTTATACGGTATACTGTCTGGTTCTTATTATACAACGTTATAAATTTACGTTAAAAAAAAATCGTAGGAATAAAAATAACAAAGATTTTTATAGTACTTAGTTTTACGATGATGCCGTTTTTTTTCTTAATATTTTTGTGCACAGAAAACTTCTTCATGTAGCAAGTCCATCGATCAGATACCGTACAAGAAGTACACATTTGATGGCAAAATGTTAAATAAATCCATTTCCCCCTGCCAAAATCGAGAAACACGCCCTAAAAAATATTAACTGTTATGTTTAATTGACTTTAAATTAAATAGTACTAGACTGGGCTGGCTGTAAGTTTAGGCCTAAATCCAAAGCATTTATGTATATATATATATATTTTTTTTTTGTTGAATCCGAAAGTAATCTAAAAATCTGAGACTCAGATCTTTTAAAAATGTTAATTATTAGGAAAATCTTATTGACTTGTTTTATATACTATTGTATTTTCTACAAAAATACCAAATAATTGTTGTGAGTAATAATATTATCTTAAGATTTAGAAAAATATATCATTCAGGAGCATGGAACTAATTTTATATCATTATTAATTACCACTATTTTAGGAATGTCTTTACCGTTATTGGTTATTACAATCTTATTCAATGTTCATCTCTACAAACTATTAGCTATAAAATGGATAGGTTAGGGTCGCACAAGTCAAATGGAATTTAAAAAAGAAAAAAAAGGCAACTTTTCTGGAAGATAATGTTGTTGATTTTTTTTTAATTTTAAGAAAGTTTGAGTTTGTTTATTTTTTAAGTTATCTGTTGACTGTTATGCAAAGGAAGTAAACGTTTTAAAATTTAGCAATACTTAAAGTATTGTTCAGCTGCCCAGTTGGAACGTTTGGATGGAAAGTTACAACAGAACGTGTCGTTTCATTCTTCGGCATTACTCAATTTTGTGTGGTCTTATTTCTACCGTCTTGCCTACTTAATACTATTATGATAAAAATTTTGATTGTCGTGTGTCGGACAAAAACGGCAAACATTGATGAGTCTTGGACAAAACGCGTTCAGTGTATTAGCTAAAACTTTAATAACAATAATAATAATATGAATTGGATTAAAAAATAATTTAGTAATTTCATATTATTCTATTGAGCAGCTGCAGCTGTGTAGTCGGAAAACTCGCTCGCGGTTATTACTATTACCGCGGTCATTGTTATTTATTAATCGCATAAGGGCCATCGGCGGCGGCTCACCGTGTGTTTAATAGCCATTTTGTAAATGGGCTAAAATTTTACAAATACATACATTGGACAACAACAATGCGGATTTTGATTAAAACGCGCGACGTACTCATTGTCTGTGTGTCGTTTTAGAGTTTGCACTATTATTATTAAAAAATAAATGTGTATTATTACTACTATAATGTAAAGTGTGTGGTTCAATTCGAACCTTGTTAATAGTGGTGAAAACCTCTTTGATTTTCTTACAATATTATCACGAAGCAATTTCCATGTCGCTCTTACTTTGACATACATTCTTGCGATTACAAGCACCGGAAAAGTTATCAAAACAGTGGATAGAAAGCAAAACCGTCATTTTCTTCAAGCGGTAAAATAGCAATATACTTTTGTATAATTTTCGAATGCTCGTGTTTTTTTTTTACCCTGGTTGCACTAAATGTTTTTCCTCGTTATCTGTAACACAACTTTGCTTTGTAGGTATGCAAAGACCAATGTCTTTTTAGATAAAAAAAAAAAGTTCTTTCCTTTAATTAAAGTCAAAAATGTCATATGTTTATATGAATATTTATTTACCTATTTAATCGATAGATTTTGATAATAAAATATTTGTGATCTTCCATGGGAAAAGGTACCTTATCTTCCCGGAGCAAGTTGTTCAAGAGAACCTAGTTTCGGTTAGGACCTTTTACTAATTAATTTATTAGGAGTGCCAACTTGAAAATTTCATAACTCTTGAACCGATCGAGATATTATTTTGATCGTGACACCATTGTAATAAGTAGCTAATCGGGTATAACAAAATGCAAAAACCCTGATTTTGAAAAATGGAAGATAAGGTACCTTTTGACATTTTTATATCTTAGCTTTGGCACATAACCCTGGCAAATATCCGAAAAAAGCGTTATCAAAAGAGCGTAACGAAAAAAGCGTTACCAAAAAGTTTTTCAGCCGAGTCTGCAACCACGAAAGAGCATTTTCATGTCTCGTTGAAGTACCGAATAAATTTAGATTAGTTGTGGAATTATAATTAAAAAAAAAAAATTACATGGAGCTTCCAGTTACAGCATAAGCCAAGGAGATTAAAAAATTATGTACAATCAAGTTACTGGCTAAAATTGTAGTGTTTATTATCTGGCCAAAAGTAACTTAACATAGAGAATTAAACTATTTTGAATTTATTATTTAGTTCTAATTTGAACGTTGAACGTAAGACATATCTCTTATCTCATATCAGATAACAGCGGAACAGATTAACATTCGAAATGGATCCGAAATGGTCTTTCCGATAATTGTCTTTGAATTGTCGAATGCTTTTTGGTACCTTGCGGCGCGTAACAGCGTAACAGCGTAACGCTTTTTTTGGTAACACTTTATTTCGGTTATGTCCCGGCTAATTCCCACCCCTATCTCCCGTCCCCAACCCCAACCTCATCTTCATCCTCATTTATTTTTTGATAACGCATTTTTCGTTACAATATTTGTTTTACAATATTTTCGTTACGCTCTTTTGGTAACGCTTTTTTCGGTTATTTGCCAGGGTTATGTGCCAGAGCTAAGACATGAAAATGTTAAAAAGAAATGGGGTTGATGATGAGGTTGGGGGTGGGAATAGGAATGGGGTTGGGGGTGAGAATTAGCCGGTGCATAACCGAAAAAAGTGTTACCAAAAAAGCGTAACGAAAAAAGTGTTACGCTGTTATCTGATATGAGATATGAGATAGGGGTAGGGGATAGGGGTGAGTAATAGGGACGGAAGATAGTGGGTAGGGGATAGGGGTAAGATATAGATAAGAGATATACGTTCAACGTTCAAATTAGAACTAAATAATAAATTCAAAATAGTTTAATTCTCTATATATTAAACTATGTTAAGTTACTTTTGGCCAGATAATAAACACTACAATTTTAGCCAGAAACATGATTGTACATAATTTTTTAATCTCCTTGGCTTATGCTGTAACTGGAAGCTCCATGTAATTTTTTTTTTTTTAATTATAATTCCACAACTAATCTATATTTATTCGGTACTTCAACGGGACATGAAAATGCTCTTTCGTGGTTGCAGACTCGGCTGAAAAACTTTTTTCCATGGGATGGCCCTATTTATATTATTAAGCTTTGCTGTAATTATTTGGTTGTACTATTCACCCAAAAGTTTGAGAAAATCCATGAAACTTCCTTTGATCTAGCAGTAATAATATTGGATTTAACCATTATAAATATTAAAAAAACCGTAAACATATTAGGAGGTTAGATTGTATTAGCCAAAACAGTTTTTTTTTAATTTCAAGTCACGCATAGTGTTATAAGAATTACTACAACAAGCGTGGAAAAATATAAAATAATATTTATATTTAAAAAAAATATATTGTAAATAGTCAGCGAGATTAGACATATATGCTAGTTCAAGACTTGTAGATAATGTAAAATGCAATTATTTATTTTATTTGAACAAATTAAAACATATTGGAAAATAGAATCTATTAAGTATATTTGACAATGTAAAACGATTCAGATTCTCCTTATGCCTACCAAATCACTTTATTTTTAAGTAATAAAAGAGTACCTATTATTTGAATTAAATGTATTGAATAATAATATTTGATTTGTTTTTGTTTACAGGTATTTGCTTACTTTCGTGTTTCTTGCGGCATTCTAGCTTCGATGTATATTTTTTTAGAAATGTTAACACTTATTGTAGTACTTATATGACCAGTAACTTTTGTTTTTAAATTTACTTTCTTTTCCCATCCGACTCGGTGGTGATGACGTTTTAACATAAAACAGATTAACAGATACTCAGGTGCTGTTCTCTCTATTGTTACCTACCGGACATCATACCTCGTATAAAAAAATAATTTAAATCAATTTAGTTTATATGAACAAATACATTTTTTGACCGCTATCGACCATTTACAAACATACTCTTAATGTCCATCAGGGGCTTGAAGTGTTTTTTTAACTAAAGACAATAAGTATTGATAAATTTGAAACAAATAAATTTGCTTTTTTCAATAAAATCGCAGTTCTATATTCATTTAAAAAAAAAACGTACGATATTTTTATTTGTTGAATTTATTTTAACAGGCTTTAATAACTTCAACAACTTAAAAACGTATTAAAAAACTATCATAACTATTTATAATAATTGTGATTGATTTCCTTGTTGGTTTTAATCATCACACACCGAGAATAATTTGTAGTCCTATGTTTTTTTAATATTTATTTTTTGTGAAAGTACAAAGGAATACAAATTAAAATTAATTTTTTTTACATGTATAACGAACACGTCATTGTCGAGGGTTAAATTTTTGTTTAGGTTTTTTACCTTACACTGTGACCCATTTAAGTGTTGTACACTAAGTTTTTTTTTTTAAAAATAATGTTAATAATAATATATTATATAAATAATATTATGTTCTGTTTATGTTAGTTATGCAATTCTACTCGATTTAGACACTGATTTGATTATTTTGATTGTAACACCAACAGGATAAAAATATGTTTTGTCTTGTATTAATTTAAGACAATTCGAGTACAAATAATATTATGTAGGTCTGAATAGTATAATATGTTATTTTTATTTGTTTGTGAAAAGTATATAATATATTGCATGTGTATTTATACACTGAACATTGTAATTTGGAAAAAAAAGGAGTTAATTTATATATAATTGTATAATATTATGATAGTCGTTACTGAAACCAGAAAACCTGACCAGGCCGAAGCATTATAATATACGTTCTGCACTACAGTAACGACAAATCACCTGATTAGTGATAATTGTAAAAGTTAATTAAAATATTTTTGTTTCCATTATTTAATTATTATTATTATTATATTATATAATGTATATATCTATATATTAATAATTCAGTGTCTGTTATACTTTTATGTGTGATTCATAATTAATTTAAAAATAAATACGTTAGTTTTTTAGTGTATTACACGAAAAGATTTTTACGACTTGTTGCCAGTTATTTACTAATAAATAAATAACTTGAGATGAATTTTGAGAGCTCCCCATCGTTTTTCCAGACATAACGACGTATCGTTAAAATTAGAATGCCTTTTTTTCTTTCAAGTTAAAAAGTTGGTTTTCATTTCGCGTTGAAGGCGTTGCACAGTGTAATTTGTTTTTTTTTTAGCGTGCAAGGCGAAAAAATGTGTATTGCGATTTACTTTTTCTTATTATTTTGCATGATGATGTTGTTGTAAACGGTTTCATAAACTACTGGATTATTTTTCCACGTAGTTATAGACATTAATTACATTTTATTAAATTATCCGAGTATTAATAAGAAGCGGGGGACTCGACATCGGTTGTATACCTTTTATAGTAGTTAATGGAATAATTATTGTTGTTCTTTTTTTTTTCAACGTGGTGTACCACTTATCATATGGACCGCTTGTGTTATTCTTGTAATGCAATAATATACAGATTAACATTGACCTCAGCGGGCGGTGCAGGTTATCCACAGGGGCAGCGTTCGACTACGGTCGTGTTAACATGCCACTGGGACGAGACCGGTCGACGTGCTGCTACTTAATGGCATATCTGAATAAACAAACGGTCATCCTTTTCTCATTCATAATATTGTACACCATTATGTTTAATATTATAATAATAGTCGTAATTCGAGGCGGAACCGACTTCCCAGTTTCCTTGAAATGACCTGAGAAAAACAGACCCATAGAGGAATGCTACGAATTGTGTTGCTGTGATTGTTTGCGATTAAGCATGTGCTCAGAATGACTTATTTTATAACCGTGTGTCTCTCTCGAGGTCACCGAAATTACTTCATTTCAGTTTTGACCTGACCGGCACTTGTCGTTTGCAAGATTATATTTGCACTTTGCTCAACGACGTCCAAGTCTTTAGCCCAAATTCCAAGGTACATTATTATTATTATTGGAGTCGTTTCCACTTCTTCTTTTACATCTTACACCATACAAATTTGACAAATTTAAATTTTCTTTTTACCTAATACCATTGACTCTACTAACTTCTCCAGCCTACCTCTAAAAATCGTTATCCGTTTTACTACTTTTAAACTCGATCCAATCATTCCCTTATTTAATTTAATTTTTACTACTTACCCAAACTAAACTTGGTCACTCATATTCATCTTACACATTCGTATCAGCTACTTCCATTTTCCTTCCAGTTATCTTACTCAATGCCCAAAGCACATTTCCATATATCATTGCCAGACAGTCCAGTCTGGGCTTACAACATTTTTTCTACACACCATGTTCAATTCCCCTATTTTCTAGCATATTAAGTTATTCAAAAATATAACTAAAGGTATACTCTATTTACCGATGGCTCTTCAATCATAACTGGTTCGCCATCTCCTTCTAAAACCACCTCATTGTTAAACTTTAACGCAGAGCGACCTACTTAAACTTACTTGATAGTAATTTTACTCCAACGCCTCCCACAGTTGTTCCCATTTAACTCCTTAACAATTTTCTGTACGTTTAACCACCAAATAATTATCGGATTCAGCGAAAAAATTCCAAAAAAATATCTGTCGATTACATTTTTTTTTTAAACAAATTTTCTTATGAACAATAATTTTTAATCAGAAAAACGTTAAATAGTGTTTTTACATGACTTTTTTAAAATTTTATGTCTAGTTGTGTACGCTATAAAATAGCTATATTTATTTTTCAGTTTACCTACAGTTTAATTAAATAGAATGTTACATATTATATTATTATTGTGTTTTATAATAGAAGTCTGTGTTGGTTTTTTAATCGTGCGTTGAAATTATGGAATGGTCACGATATTGAACTTGAGCCAAGTACACCGTCGCTGCCCTAAGAATTTATTACATCATCCCGACCACACTATACTTTGATTACACCCGCAATGCGATAACCCATTAACGGTTTTTGTTTGTAAAGATATGTTTTATTTACCACAAATGTACCAGCCTTGATTGTGAATTGCTATACTATTCGGCTTCGTACTCATCTCTCAGTTGTTGATCTTCAAATGATTATTACATACATACTATTAAGTTGGTTATGTCATGAAACATTTACGGTTGGAAATGGTAAAAAAAAATTATTTAGTTTCAAAAAAAAAAAAATTAACGATGTTTGAATTGAAATATTAAGACAGTACTGAAGTATTGTACTTGTACGGTAATTATTTAAGTAAAATTATAAAGTGTATGATTAAATACGTATGGATAGCGCTGGTTATGTTCCTTAAGACCAAGTATTGGGATCTTGTTCAGGTTTGATATTTTCGCATTGTCCAAATTTGTATGGCCATAGTCCAAATTGGTTTCAATTGAGTATTATACACGAGCAAGTAAAAATAAGTCCAGGTAAAACGCGGATCTAACGTCAAGCCAAGATATAGTCTTTTAGTTGGTGTATAATAATACGCTCAATCTGTTCAAGCCACACGTGTAAACATGCAGATAGAAAGTGTTTTTACAAAAAACTCAGATTGATAAGAAGACGAGAAAAGTTATAAACGACTGTAAAAACTGTAGTTGTTAATCGTTTATTTGTGATGAGATTTTTCCTGTTTAATAAGTAAGTATAATACAATATTAAAGGAATGATTTCTAATAATTATTGTGTTATGATCCGTACGATTTTGATGATTGTTTTTTGTAACTAGTTAAAAACAACAGAACTGCTAATTAGTGAATAGTTTTTTTTTCAAATAAACGCATACACGTCTTTACTTATCCCAATATACTTAAATAGTGAAACTTTGTGGTTCGACCACCAGAGTTCGTTGTGAAAAACAAGCTTACACAAATGGTGTTTAAACAAATATATTTGACCCATTTTTTGAACACTAAATAATACTTTATTTTACTATAAACTAACGTCATTAAATATACAAACTTGTTTTTTCGGTAGATTCTACGATGACTTGCTTTTAACAAGGACCATAGCTTTTAGTGAATATTACCATAAGTGTATTGTAGGAACGACGATGTACTTTGGCGAGTTCTGCAATTACAATTTGCACGTGTTTAGGAAACGTCAATTACTTTGTACAGCTCTATGTGTAGGTACAACGCGATACGATAGCGTATATTTTAAATTTGTCTTAAAACTTCAATAATATAAGACTATGCGTTTGTCGCCACAACGTGTCAAGGCGATAGTTTCGTTTATGTTATGCGTTTCAAACGTTATGTCGGATAACTTTGAAAAACTAAAACTAGCAAACAGTTTGAACATGTTGCTACGTCAACCGGGATGGCGACACATGTTCGACATTCGCATTAAGGAACCGATCCAAGAGAATTGCACAAGAAAAAAAAGAAGATGCGATCAAATCGGAGAGGACCCAATGAAGACAATTCCCGTGTCTGCGCTGTACGAGGTAAACCCATTTGATGGCCACCCTGTAAACACGTCCAACGTCTTGGATAAACATTATCAAATGCTTACCGCCGTTGAATGCAAATACGGTGACATTATAATAGAATATAAAGTTTTGTTGAAAATCGTGATACGCCAATGCCGAGACGAGTATAGTGTAGCTAAACAGTCGAGTAATACGCCATCGTTTGAACGGTATTACAAATGTTTTTATACACTGCTGCGCAAACTCGACAAAATGTCGGTGATATTTGCATACATGCGAGACGCATTGCAGTATTTGTCCAAGTTACACGAGTGCCCGGATTCGAATAAACATAGTAATTATATACTGGTTGCCGTGAAAGACTTGGAATCGTTGACTTTATCGAGTCATCAGACGATTGTATCGAAATCGGGTAGTGATCCTAATGCGGAAGCAGTCAAACTCGAGATCGATTACATTCGTGAACATTTTTTTAAGACCATCAACCGCAACGTATACGATTTTTTAAGAACATATTGTATTGTACCGACACATAGAAATTTGAAAAATTCAATTCGAAACGCCCGTCCAAAGGATACACCGTTAATGGAACACGTTGAAACCATAATAGACAGATACGTCGATGGTCTTCTTGACAAATGGTTTTACGGTTTGGGTTTCACGTACGATATCACGAAGGATCCAGCAACAGTTGAAATCAATAACGAAATTTGGATCATTGACTATGAGGTTGATCGTTTATCAACAATTACCACGGAATTGCTCGAGGCCGAGGAGACTTCCCCATAAACCCGTTTCAGTGTTATATTTTCAAAATGAGTTTATTAATAAATACAAATATTTAAATCCAATGTACAGGGTGATTTTTTTTTTAAAGAGATACGCTCAATATCTCATAGGATTTAATCAGGTATTGAATTTTTTTTTCCATAGTCATAGTGTTTTTGTATAACAAATTACTGAAAATGTTGACTGGTCCAACACCAGTTTTGGAAATTATTCAATTTTCAGGAGAAATGCGGTTGAATAATTAAAAAATTAGGGAACCAAGGGAATGAAAAACAATAGGAGATAATAATTCTATCGTCTACAGTATACGAATTATGCACATTATCATAAGCATGAACACGGATTTAAATGCAATCGTTAAGAGTGAATGATAAAATAGAAGATATAATAGGATAGAGCTGGAGTTGTTATAGGATGACGTGTGGTAAAATGATTGCATTTTTACAATATGTCGTTAATTATAAAATAAGGATGTAAAAATAGACCTTTATTTTTTTACAAAATCGTAATTTAAAGGTTAAACTGTGATGTATAATTATTAGTTCAATAACTAAAACTCTATTTTGTTACTTAATTTATTTTTTGGACTATAACAGCATCCTTGAAAGCTAATAAAAAAAAAAATGTTTTTATCTCTACATGTTTATGCAAACTGAAAATAACTCGCTTAATTTTGGTTTTACA